TTTTACAAATTTTAACTCTGTTCCGACTACTATATAATATAGCTAGCATATGGCAAAGATCAGACTTTATAATGCTATTAAAACCAAATTGGATATTAGGAAGATTCTCGAATAAAACAGAGTGTTAGCAGGGTTCGGGTAGGATCGGTCAACTATAATATGTATAGGTTCCACAGGATTGAACAGTCTTTGTTGGAAAAACTTTTCATTTGTTTATACCAGACAGGGAACGTCTCTACACAGTTTGAATGGGATCGGTCAACTTGATCAAGAAGCTGTTAAGACAAATATTTTCTACGCAAATTATAGAAGTATATCATGAATGTAATGTTAGTTTTCTGTTACAACGCATTACTTTATAAGACCTAATTGTGAAAAAGCACAAATTTGCATGCAAATTGTTTGCATGTGTGACCGTAGCTTTAGGAACAATCAGTCCTGAATAAGTGAAGCTGTTATGCTGTAGATGGGCCTAAATAAGAAATGACGTTGGCGTAGCTTTCTGCCCTCACTGGCCATAATACGCATACGGCCTGTGTGTGTGCTCAAGAAATTATGGGGTTGTCTGTAAGTGTGTGTGTGTGTGTGTGTGTGGATGCTGCGTGCATGAATTTGGAGGCTAATTCGCGTATTCACGGGGCTTTTAGGCGCATTAAAGAATCATTGTATTCAAGAAAGAAAAAAAAAAATAGTTTCACAGGCGGTCGCGCATCCATGGCCATTTACCATTGCTGACCGACCACGAACCCGACCGCCCCCGCCCTCGTCCCAATCACACAGACCAAGTTAGCATTAACTGTTTTCACATGCTGTGTTGCCATCACCAGCAGCACCGCCTCAGTGGTTGTCCGAAGTGGTTGTCAAACAATGTGCCGCCACTCATAGGCAAGTGCAAGCATCGGCATTAGCATCTATGACTGTTCCTATGTGACAATACTCGTATACAATATCTATATCACATATGATGTATGTGGGTGTGGGTGTGGATGTGTCTGCGATAGTTGTAGTTCGTTGGGTGTTACATTTTAAAAAAGTTACTTAAACATTGTGCGGCTTCTCAAATGAGTCACAGCAGCAGCAGCAAATGGATTCAAATTGGAAGCAGTTGCAACTTTTGAAATATGTTTCATACTTATGTATGTGCATGCTCCCCTACACTGTTCAAAATAATGGTCTAATATTCAAATCTAGTTTCAATTTCAATGAAGAAGATTATAAAACAAACCGAAATATAACCTTTAAACAAATCAATTTCGAAAAGAAAACGATCAACAAGTCAGCAGAATGTAAGGCACTCGGTTCGAATCACGCCGAAATCATCATGGGTGTCAAAGTTATCACAAGATTTAATAATGGTCAAACCCAGGACAGATCTTAGAGGTTTTATTATTTAAAAGGGAGAACAATGACCAACAAATTCCATAGATACACAGTTATTTAGTTATTTATCTTGTAGCCTGTATTAATTAGAGAGTAGCAAAAACTCTCTTGGCTGCTCCCATTCCATGTTTTTCTTTTTCGTGGCCTTAGACTATTTTTCACAAGTCAAGGGCGTAGGCAGCTTTTACCAAAGGGGGGCCAAAAAAATTAAAATTTTGATTACATAATGCACGATGTATTTTAAAAAAAACTTATGCATATGATCAATGAAAAAACTTCAACAAATCCAAACTCAGATCCATTTTAAGGCGAAATGGTGCTTCATAACAATGAACGTGTGGTCGACTTTAAATGGCAAAATTGTTTGTAGGGCCTGCCTACGCCCTTGTCACAAGTGGTTATTCAGTGATAGGGTTATTATATGGTTCTAATTTATTATTAATCACTGAAAATAAAATGAAATTAATTTTAAAATAATTATCTTTAAATGAAAGTTAAATTAGCTTAGCTTTGGAGTTGAAAATAATGCTAACTACTTGTATAGTGCTACAATACCAAGTTTTATAAATGTGGACTCAGCCACGTCTGAAATCCAGGCTTGCATTCAGACAGACAAACGGATATAATCGAATTCTCAAGCAGGTTAAGAAGATGCGCTTAGACTGTCTAGTACTATGTAGTACACCCTGTCACAGGACGTTATAATTGTACAATGAATTCTTGCAATCCTGCATCAAACAAACAACAATTTTTTGAAATCGTCTGAATTGAATTTTTTCGAAAATGGAAGCACATGATTCAAATAAAATGTTCGTACTACTACTAAGTACTAGTGATAAGAAATTTCCAACTGACTGTAACTTTTTTCACTTTTCGGTTAAAATGTTGTATGTATGTGCAGATGTGTATATTTGTTGAAATTTATGTATTTGAAGTAAATACCTACATACGAGTACGACATGTGCCCTGTTTAAGTTTAGAGCACGACAGTTGCGCTCTTTGTTGCCAAAACTATGCCTATGTGTCTTTTTTTTTTCTTTCTTTAATTACTTTCATAGAGGTGTGTATTTGTATTATGTACATATATTATATATGTAGTTTGTATCGTGTTTATGTAGCTTCTTCATTTGCTGACATTGCCGTTGCGTATGGGGGCTTTGAAAAGTGAAAACTTGGTCACAGCTTACTGCAATGCACGTTTCAGTTTTATGACTCACGTACCTATCTGACTAACTAAATCGGTTGTGGGGGGTACCGATATCATATGCGAGTGTTTAGCTCCAATTCGACTCTTGATTCTGTCTAATTACGCAGCTCAGGGTCAGTTAAATTATTCAATTAGCATTTGTCATCGTTTATGTTGTGCTCGTTGTTATTGTTAATTGCCATAGATCGTGGGAATATTGATAGATAGACAGGTACGACAGTACCTGCAGTTCCAGTTCATGACATATCGCTGTCGTTGTCATAAAAACTTTACATCAATGCGAGTTTTGTGTGGTTTCCATTTCCATGGCATAAGAGGGCCAACCGGCCGGTCAAGAGCTGAGGCTAAAGCCTGCCCTAAAAACCACAACCGCAGGCTAATAAAATGCTGAGTAATATCCATGTTACCACCATTCTTTTATAGAACAATATATAACACCTCAAAGTCATACTTTGTAAGACCTATAGATTATTTAACTCCTTTCGCAATCGCACACAATTTCAAATTAAAAACTAAATTAGATTATAACAATTGAAAAGAATTTGTACAATACTCTGATTCCCACTTTGAAATCAACCACACTGATTGGGATTTGTTGAAGTTTTTCTGTAGATCATGCATTAATTATTATTTAATCAACATTTAAATTTGTTGGTCCCCCCTTGGGAAAAGCTGCGTACTCCCTTGATTCTAAGCATACAGGGTGCGCCATCTTTTATGTCGGTATGTAAACATTGAATATCTTTGAAAATAAACAACCGATTTTCAAGATATTTTTATTTAATTTGGTTCTGTACAATTTCTTGAACTGAGGTTTTCAACACTGGTCTACTCAAGTCAATCGGTTCACTAATGACAAAGTTATTCAATATTTACATACCGACATAAAAGATGGCGCACCCTGTATATGTACATTTACAATCTACCTCAGCTCCAACAATATATTTTTATGCCTTGATCAGTTTTTAAACTTGTTTGAAATTTACTTGATTCCAAATTGATCCTGACACAGTTATTAGCAAAATTTTAACCAGTTTCGTAACAAATAAGAATCATAGACTTTTTAACTTTTAAAATTAACCCTTAAATCTTTTCTCGGCTACTTTTGTTAAGCTGTCAACATAATTAAATACATCTAAGGCCTATTTCATGATCCACCTCAGTTTATATTGCTGCAGTTTATTTACATATACTCTATAATAGTGTTGTAATTTGTCTAAAGAGATTTTTTCATTGTCTTTAAAAGTATAGCTTTTTATTGATAAGAAAAAAATGTTCAAAAAAAGAGCAGCTTAAATTTTAAAAGCATTTCACAGAACTTAGTTGTGCGTGGTTCTAGACTTAGCATAATTTATCGCAGCATTTCTTAGCTGGATAATAAAAGAGTTTCTTCTATACTAAATACTACATATATTTATTATTATATTTATGTGTGTATGAATAATAACGAAAAAAAAAACATGCGAACTTATTTAAATACTTGAGAATAAATTGCAAAACTTAAAACATTATCCATACTACTAAGTTTTTTAACGAAATGCGGATTAATTGCCTAAATATTAAGCTGCTAATAGCTTGTATAGTTCAATAATGGAATGGATTTAGGAAAGTAATAATTAGCAAAGGTTCGCATGAATCCAATAATATATTAAAATATACTGGATAATTACAAATTTGCACCTTTAAGCAGTTAAGCAGCTATACAGACTTTTGTGAAGATCCTTATTGCATTCTATTGGGACAAATTTGCAATATTGAAGTAATCTTCAAATTAATAAAACTTTGGCTCAGAAGGCGACCTCAGGTATTAACGCTACAAAAAAGAAAACAGTGCCAGTTAAAGCTGTTTAAGTTCAACTATTCATAACAATAGTTAATCTAAATGAAATGAAATTAAGCACGTCAAACTACTAGAAGATGATAGTTTTTAATTAATTCTTAATTCATCTATGGCTTAGTAGCTTAGACTGATTCCGTGTTGAAAAAAAAAACCCTGTGCCTTCTTTAAGCTTAATAGTTTTCGAATAGCGATACTGACGAAATCTGTGGGCTCTTCGAGCTATCTAGCAACATACTTATCTATAGATGTAGGCTTTTACCTTTTCAACTTGAGGGCTTTGGCCAGCCAGACACTGCGACTCGGAACCATGGCGCGGGGCATGCGTCATCAAAAAAAAAATAATAATAAAATAAAAAAAAAAAACAGAAGAAGAAGAAGAGAGACACCACCCAATGACCGCCCAGCCGAAGCGAGCAAAGCCGCAGCTTAACTTCAACTTTTAGTTCCAGCTGTCATTGTGTGTGTGTGTTTGTGTGCGTGTGTGTGAGTCTCTGCGTGTATGTGTGTGTGTTTGTATGGCGCGGGTGTATAAAAGCCAGATGCGCAGTCGCAGCCAAAGCATTAGACGAGTGCGAGCGTTGAGCGGCGCGTGCGCAGTAGAGAAGTTTTTTTAGATTTGATTTCCCACCAAACCACAAAGCGTCCACAACATGAAGTGCATTGTAAGCTGGATAGTGTTCAGGACAGCAGGACCTTTGGATTATCTTAACTTGACTTCATCTCATCTTACAGCTGTTCATCTCAGCAACATTGCTGCTGTGCGTCTGCCAGGCAGCGAGTGAGCTCACAGAGTCTGCGGCGGATCATCAGCAGGAGGCGGCCGATCAGGCAGGCGCCGCTAGCAGTTATGCGCCATTGCAGGAGAAGAAACAGGAGAAGCGATATGTTGGTGGTTACAATGGTTATGGTGGCTATACGGGCGGTTATGGAGGCTACGGCGGCTATGGCGGATATGGCGGTTACGGCGGATATGGCTCAGCATTGGGAGGCGTTGGCACGGACAGCTATTACAATCCATATAGCTCGTCCCGTGTCCTCGGCGGCTTGGGTAAGATTGGGAACCGTTTCCAAAATATGGTCGACCTGCTTCCTTTTTCGATTTCTAACAAATTTACGGTTATGTGAGAATTTTTTGAATTCATTTCTGTACCATATTTCTCTCGCGCAGTTCAACCGGAATTGAATTCGACAAAAATCACTCAGGGTTTTGGAGATATGAGCTTTTTGCAAAATCAAATTCAACAAATTTGCTCGAATGTAGATTTTATACGATATTTAGATTCTGGAACTAGTCTGAGAATATTTTACGCCTTCAATTTTAATGAATATTCTACATAATAGATGCAGGTGCTGCTGGCGGCTATGGTGGATATGGCGGCTATGGTGGAATTGGCGGTTTGAACTCAAATCCCTATGCGCTATCGTATTACAATTCACGTCTGGGTGCCAACTCCGCACTGGGCGGCTATGGCGGTTACAATTCCAATCCCTATGGATCTCTCTCCTACTACAATTCGCCCTATACACGCGGATATGGCAGCTATCCATCCAGCTATTACAACAGCAATTATGGCAGCAGTGTGGTTGGCGGCGGACTGGGAGCTTTAGGAGGTGTGCCACCCATTGGAGCGGCCGGCTATAACTATGGAGCCGGTATTTCGGGAACAGTCTATTAGAAATGAGACGCCATCTCTTGCAACAATTTATGTTTAGTGCAATTTATTTTATATATATATTTGTATATTAAAATTTTTTTCATTTTTTTTTGTTAACTAATTTAATCTCAATTCGTCAAATTCGATGGTTCACTTGATTGATTAAGCGTAGGCACCATGCTTGTCCCTTATCACCCAGAAGGCATCAACTATATCGCCATTTTTATCATCAGACACCTGCTCGAAATACAAGTGGGTTGCGTTATGAGCCTTCAAGCGTGTGTAGCCGTAATCCTGAAAGAATATAATAAAGAAAACTTATGAGTAATGTTGCCGTTTTGGGTTCCCCATTCTTCCGGTAGTAAAAAGCCAAAAATAGCTCGCAATTGGAACGTTTATGATGATTTCTTTTAAGCGATGTATCTCTCGAACCTTGTTAGGGATATTGTTTTTATATTTACCAAGTTTGAACTGATATATAATAATAAAACGCCCAAAGCTGATTTGTCCAATCAAGGGGATCTTTTTACAAGGCCTGAAAATCTAAATCATAATTAATTTGATACACCACTGGCAGTATCAACAATCTGTATTTCCTGACTCCATAACTCGTGCGAGCTCGATCCATTTTTGTATATACTAAAATGATATACACCTGATTTGGTGAGGATATATTTATATGACATGGAATGAATTTCCTAACCATCCATCCTATGGACAATATATAAAGAATGAGGCTATACAATATGATTTGTAATACACTTGGTTTGCATTTGCATAAATTAAGTCTACATATCAAGTTCGATACCCCATTCTATGATCATTAATTCAGTTCGTATGAATCTATCAACTCACATTGCTGTGGAAGGCATTCCACTCGGGTAGGGTATTTGGGAAGGGCTCACGTTCCTCCTTGCAGCCCGCGGATCCAGTAATAATCTGTATGGGTGCTTTTGCGTTGGTATAGGGCGCTTCTAAGCTACCATTGTACACCTTAAAGTCGTAAATGGGCCAAAGGCGAGTGTAGAAATGTTCATGCGCGAAGATTTCCACATCGACGCCATGCTTGTAGAATAGATCTTCCAGACCGAACCATTTTAACATGGGCAGACCTTGGCGTATATATGTCTCCAGTTTGCCATCGCAATCATATTCCTTATCGTCGCTACAATACATGGGCCGATGGCCGTAGGTGATTATCCAGGGTCGCTTGGCCCGATTCTCAGGCAGATTTGCTTCGGCCAGATCGCGTTCCAGCCAGTCGAATTGCTTTGTGAGCAGCTTGACACCATAATTCAGAAAGTAATAGACCTCGGTGGAGAAGGATATAAAATGTATCGGACCCATATTAAAGCTGTACCACAAACTGTCCCCGTTGCCGGGCATACTAAAGCGTTCCCGATAGTTGGAAAAGTTGCTGCAACGCGACGAAAAACTTAATGAAGCAAAGAACCACGAAAAGCAAGAAGAGCCTAGTACTTACTACTTTTCCTCATGATTGCCGGGACATACCATATACGGTACATAAGCTGCCACCGTTTCGATTTGTCGCATAAAGGCGTCTCCCACAGTCGCATCGTCCGTGTCCATATCGTAGGCAAAGTCGCCCACATGGATTATCGCATCGTACAAGCCTCGCTCCGTATCCTGCTGCAATCGTCCCAAAGACTGTGCGTTCTCATTACCCATGTCACCGAAAATTGCCAATGAGGGCGACCAATTTTCACCGCCAGGTGGCGTCTTAAAGTTAAAAACCGGCGACCAGCCTAAATTGCAACCACAACTATATTCATATCGGGTATCGGGCTGCAGTCCCCCGAGCACTACCCTGTGTACGTATTGACTGTGAGCCTTGGGTCCACCGTCCACAAACCGACGCGATGTTCCCGTCACTAAGGTCAGCGGATCCTTGGCAAAGTTCTGGGCAAAGTTCACCAGCGAGACATTTGTAGCATCGCGTGTGGACCACGTCACAACGATGTCCGTCAATTGTTCTGTAAAAATGCAAATGGGAAGGGAATCGTTTTAGCTGAACTGCTTAGAGCGCATTCTCAAAAATGTTAAAATACCCCATTTTTCTCCAACTTTATTTAGAAAATTTAAGCCCTTCAACCATCAAAAATATGATTAGATGTACATATATACATATAGGCAATAAGAAAGTGATACAAAACTTAAATAGAATCATAGTGATGCAATATTAATTATCGATTCTGAGACTCTATCCCAGTACAGGATATATTCCAGTCCTCATCTTTTTTAAATGTTACACAGCTTCCTTATAAAAAAAAATAATAATAATTGAATTTGAATTTAATTTTATTGCTGAATTATTCTACTAATAATCATTCATTAATTTTTTATAAAAGTTAGTTAATATGCTGACAGCCCATTATTGTCGACTCTTTAGTTGCCGTTCTCCTTCAAATAGAGAGGCGGTTGTGTATTACTTGGCACTTGTATATTGGGTTTATTAAATATATTCATTAGTACAAACATATAAAAAGTATATAGATATAGTGAGATAGAGAGATTACGGAATGCATTGCTTTGGTGGTTCCTTTGAGCCCAACAGCTTTAATAGAGAAAATATATTTAAAGATAACACAATATGCTTTAAAGGTCCACCCGTTTGTCGACTAGACCACATCGTAAGCCCCATGACTGTTCTTGACGATCCAAAACTTGTCGATGATAAGGCCCTTTCGATCGTCCGAAACTTGCTCGAAGTACAAATGCGAGGAGTTGTGCACCTTCAGGCGCAAATAGCCAAAGTCCTGGCTGTGGAAAGCGCTCCACGGTGGCATGTGTTTAAAGAAGGGCTCACGACCCTCGTGATTGCCAGCTGCACCGGAAATGATGTGCACTGGTGCCTTTGGATTCACATACGGCTCGGCCAATGAGCCATTATAAATGGTGTAGTTATACATTGGCCACATACGTTCGTAGCAATGCTCATGGGCCCAGATCTCCACATCTACGCCGTACTTGTAAAAAAGTGGCTCCAGCCCAAAGAAATCGAACATGGGCAGACCTTTGCGGACGACTGTCTCGTGATTGGCACAATCATCGCCATTGTCGTTGCTGCAATACATCGGCCGATGGCCGTACGTGATAATCCACGGATGTTTGGCCCGATTCGCCGGTTGTGTGGCCTTCGCCAAGTCCCGCTCCAGCCACTCGTACTGCATCACAATCTGCTTGATGCCGAACTGGGTGAAGTAATAGACCTCCGTGCTGAAGCCGATAAAGTGCACCGGACCCAGATCGAAGCTGTAGAACATGTTCTGTGTGCCGCCGGGCATGCTGAAGCGGTTGATGTAGTGCGAGAAATTGCTGTGAATGCGTCGTGGGTTTTTGGGAATTAGCACAGGTCTCTCTGACTAATATTCTAAATAGAAGCGAAACACGAAGAAGCCTAGCCACAGGGGGTGAGGAGTCACGCGTCAACTTTAAAATGAAATTTTCATTTCAATACAACCCGTCTGAATTGATCAATAGGTAATACATATATAAAGCTAACCCCTTAAGAAAATGTATCATCTGCAATAGCTATAAAGTATTCTACATTTAAGGATTATATTATTTATCATTAATTGAACACTTATGAATTCATTTCCATTTGAAAAATTTCCAAAAAAAAATTTCCCAAAAGTGATTATTAGAAGGTAGTTTTTAAACAAGAAAGGAATGCTAAAGTCGAGCAGGCTCAACTCTTAAATACCCTGTACCACCCCACAAAAAAGTAATTAAATTAATTAATTAATTTAATTAAATTAATTAACTAAATTAATTTAATTAATTAACTAAATATTAACTAATTAAATATAAAATATTCCATGCATGCATACATACATTTACAATTACATCAGAATCGTGTCTATGCGTGTTTGTGTACTTGTACATATGTATGTATGTGTGCATTGAGCCTGGTTATATGGCTATAACTTTTTTTCCGATCATTCTATCATAATGAGACTTGGTATACGGTTATATAATTACTAACCTAATGTGACAACCAAATTTTAGTTAAAAATTCCAAGAATTACGGGAGTTATAGAAAATCGTTAATAGGGGGGGAGTGGGGGGGGGGGGGGGTGGATCAAAAAAAATGAACAAACTCGTCCTTTCTCGGTCTCAGGAGAATCTGTATACCAAGTTTGGTTATTCTAGCTCTTATACTTTCGGAGATCCTTGCGTTCATACAGACAGACAGACGGACAGACAGACGGACAGACGGACATGGCTATATCGACTCGGCTTGTCATGCTGATCAAGAATATATATACTTTGTGGGGTCTACCAAGCCTCCTTCTGTGTGTTCCATGTGCACTCGCACTAAACTAATATACCCTTGTACCCTTTGGGTACAGGGTATAAAAATTGTTTATCAGATATTCTATTCATCCTATTATGATTTCGTTTCCATTTGGAATTTAGCGATTTTAGTTAATGCTCATGAATCATGATTAACATGATAGGGAATATAAGACGGCAACATTAATGGTCCAATATGGAAGATATTAGAAGACAATATTGACTTTCCCCCAAAAGGCAGTTGTTCATCATTATTATTAGGTGCTCCATGAAGAGAACGAACCTACACTTTCAGTTAATAATATTCCGTATTTACTTTTTTTGAAATTATGATTGATACCTAAGATAAATGATTTTAAACTAAGTATTCTCCAAGCTCATTCAGAAATGAATTTCGATTGAAATTTCAATATTTTGCTTTTACTTCTTACTACGTGTGTCCCATTGGATCGTTTTGAAGATGTTGGGGGTGTATTTTCAATTGATATTCAAGTATTCCGACCAACAACCTTCAAATGGAAACCCAAAACAGACATTACAATATTCGAAATGCGGGCTTCAATCTGAATGCGATTATATCGCGTACTTCCTGGCACATCTGTTTCGCATCCGTATACTGTTACTGCATCCGTATATGTTTGAGGCGTGAATGCCCCGGGATAAATGTTATGCATTTAGAAATCTTAGAGAAAGGGAAGCAAGCATTTTTATGATAAATATGATAAATATTCAAAACCCAAGCTATGGGGGACTGTATGGGGGACTATTTCAATGTAAAGTTGACGCACAGCTTTTCTGGGCAGGACTCTGGGCATGTTGGTTGGTAACTTACTAATGGGACTCGTGGTTGCCCACGCACACCATATAGGGCACATAGGCGGCTATTGCCTCAACCTGGCGCATAAATTCGTCACCAACGTTGCCATTGTCATCGTGCAAGTCATAGGCAAAGTCGCCCACATGGAGTATGGCATCGTACATGCCGCGTTGGGTCTCCTGTTGGAGCGCCGGCAGGGATTGTGCATTCACCACGCCCATGTCGCCGTAGATGGCCAGTGAAGGTGACCAGTTGCTGTGATTGGGCGGCGTCTTAAACCAAAACATGGGGGACCAACCGAAATGGCTGCCACAATGATATTTATATGTGGTGTTCTCTTGAAGATCGGGCAGCGTCACCTGAAGTTTGGCATAATTCTCATCGTTGTTGGTTCGGGACGACACCATCTACTTACACGATGTATGTACTGGACACGCTTCTGAGATCCACCATCGACAAAGGCTGTGGGTCCGTGGGGCGCCTTCGCGCTGTGCTGATATCCATCGATGCCGTACTCACATATCGACTCGTGGGTATTGTTGAGCGTATTCCAGGTGACGACAATGTCGAGCACAGATTCTGCAGAGGCACGGCACACATGTGAGATTTAGGTTTTAAACAGATTTATACAAATGCATGATGAATGAAGCAGGTAGGGTAGGTTCGGGGAATGTTCGGGTATCTATCGATTTCATCTCAATATCAGGATCATTATTCGAATGGATAAGTGTACATTTTTTTACACAGTAATATACAATGGGATTTCGGAATTGTACAGATACCGAAAGTTTGTTGAATCTATTTACAGGTTTTATTTATCATTAGTCAGTCGGCTACTTTGAAGAGCTGCAATAGCCATGGAAGTGGATTTTCGTGGCCTACATTTTCTGCTAAGACAGTGTAGCATTTTCTTAACGTTAATTGCATTTAATACACAAATTAGAATTCACTGATTCCTTTGCTTTATTTCAATTTCCAAGCCACGCGTAACGCTCTTGAGTTTATTCAAATAAGTATATTCTGCGATTGCTATGACGCTGCAAAACGTAAGCTTGTAGCTTAGGGCTTCAAATCTTGAAAATTATGACAGACAACAAAATTGTATTACAAACTATGAAATCTAATTAAAATTTAACAAAAAAAAAAAACAAGTTACTTTTATTATCTAACATCAGTTTCATGAATTGCAGCCCTAAAACACTGCCCATTTGTTTCAGATTCCGAGTGCAAAATTATAAAATGTGCACACATCAACAATTGTTGGTTGTTGGCCTGCAAACACATTTGTTTTAATTGCATTTTGAAGCACAGATACACGAATATATGTGCATATATGTATTTGTATGTATATAAATATATAGCATGTATATATTCGCTGTTCACATCAGAAGTTTGACAGCGAAATTGTAACGCTTCACAACTCAAACAAGTGAAATGTGTTATTCATTTCTTTCAGAACCTGTTCCCATAAATCGTTTATAATTACATACAACTTATATTCTGGAATAAGACACATTTTCTGACTGACGACTTTAGAATAATTTATAACCAGTAGTACTGCCAAATAAAATAATGCATAAATTAAAGGTTTTTAAAATATTATTAAGCATCTATTCTCCAGCAATTCGGAACAAACACTACAGCATTCTTGGGCCTTACTTTGAATTCTAAAATATATTTTGTTTGGTTTATACGCTTGCACTAAACGTAAGTTTTTTGATTAATTAAGAAACGGACACATTTACAATTACATACATACAATTACGGTTCTCAGAGCTAAACAATGTTTTTGTGATTAAGAGTTTTTAACTGGAAATTTCTCAAAAGAAAAGTACTTATACCCAAAATATGGACTGCTATGAAGATGTAAAAGGATTGATATCGCCTCCATTTGGACAACAAAGTACATAAGCTTACTATAGATATGTACATGTACGATTTAAATACATAAGAGCTAATTATTGAATGTTTTACCATAAAAATTGGCTAATTAAAGTAGATGCACGATAACATGATTATCGTTAAGCGTAAGGAATGTGTTACAGTTTGCGTTTCTGTTTCTGTTTATATTTCTTAGCAATGCAGGCAACGTGGCTTTTTGGTGTGTGAGGAATGTGCTAGAGCCGGCTATAATCAACTTGTATGTTTGAGCCAAATTGATTATCAGGTTGTACAAAGAATGTGCGCTATTAATACTGCCAGTTTGTGCATTTTGTCCATTGAGCTATGATCGTATCTATGTGTATCTATATATTTATATATGTATTTATAGGTCCTCGTAGCTGCCGTGCTGGTTTTTTATTAGCCAGAAACTATCAATGATGGCGCCATTTTGATCATCCGAGACCTGTTCAAAGTACAAGTGGGTGCGATTATGTGCTTTCAGGCGTGTATATCCGTAGTCCTGGCTATGGAATGCACTCCAGACCGGTATTTTGCCCTTGAATGGCTCACGGCCCTCCTTGCAGCCCGCCGAGCCAGTGACCAAATGTACGGGCGCTCGTGGATTCTCATACGGCGAGCCCAGCGAACCGTTTCGCACTTGATAGTCATAGATGGGCCATAGGCGCTCATAGGAATGCTCATGAGCCCAAATGGCCACGTCCACCCCGTATTTGTAGAACAGAGGCTCCAGACCGAACATGTGGACAAACGGCCAACCGACACGTGTTAGAGTTTCCGAGTGGGTGCAATCGTTATCGTTCTCATTACTACAATACATCGGTCGATGGCCGTAAACCACAATCCAGGGGCGTTTTGCTCGTTGTGCTGGCTCATTGGCTGCCTGCAAATCACGCTCCAGCCACTCGTATTGAAAGACCAACGTCTTGAGGCCGTAATTAAGAAAGTAATAGACCTCTGTGGAGATGCCAATGAAGTGTACGGGTCCCAGATCGAAGCTATAGAAGAGATTGTCTGTGCCGCCCGGCATGCTAAAGCGTGCCCGATAATTGGAGAAATTGCTGGAATGCGAAGCGTCATTAGACTCAATGAGACTCAAAGAGTTCGCAATCGGACTTCGGCTCCACTTGTGCAACACTTACAACTTCTCCTCGTGATTGCCCGGCACCACCATATATGGCAGATATGCGGCAATGGTCTCCACCTGACGCATAAACTCGTCCCCCACGCGTGCATCATTCGAGTTCATATCGTAGGCAAAATCGCCCACATGCAGTATAGCATCGTACATGCCCTGCTGGGTGTCCTGCTGCAGTCGTGCCAGCGACTGAGCATTCTCGTTGCCCATGTCGCCATAGATGGCCAGCGACGGCGACCAGTCCGACTCGCTGGAGGGCACTGTCCTAAACTGATATCGGGCGGACCAACCAGCCGCGCTGCCGCAATGGTAAGTGTAGCTAGTGTTTGGCTCTAGCTGTCTTAGAGTCACCTGAACGGTTAGGGGAGGAGGGAGTAGGATGAAGATTTAAGTCTAACTTCAATTACAAAGCTTTGTGTTGCGCATTTGGATGCATTCTACACACCCTATGGATAAATTGTGATTTATGCTTCCGACCGCCGTCTACAAATTTTGTGGCCCCACCCGTGGCGCGCTGCCTGAGTCCGTCGCTGGCTGCCGTTTCCGTCGGTCCGTACTCGACGACGCTGGACATGTCCGGCGGCAGGCTGCGTGTCGACCATGTGACAACTATTTCGCTATCGGTGCGCTCTGTGTGGTGATCGCGATAGAGAAAGAGAGGAGAGAACAATGCAAAAAGAGACGTTTTCTTAAGTTTTGCCAAAAAACATAATTCAACAACAAACTCATTCAACAATGTGCCAATGTGTAAACATTTAATTGGGTTACTCTTTGTTTTTTGTTATTTCCATTTCTGTTTTTTATAGATTTGTTCTCTTTTGTTGTTTTCTTATCACTTCAACCTATTCGAAATCGTGCGGGATTCAAATGACGCGCTTATCACGATTCTCGAATGTACAAATAATACAATAGTTTTTTTATAAATCACAAATAGTGCATACAGTACATACATATGTATTTGTATATGGTTATCACATTTGTACATACATACATATATGCCTACAATATACATACATACATATATATATTTGAAGGTTCTAAAACACACTGCTGATGACGTACGTATGTACGCTTTTTTTGTTTTGTTCATTTTCATGAATCTATAATCTATAAAAACCAGAGGCTTATGTGCCTAAAAAGAGACTCCTACAATAAAATTCTAGCAAAAATAAATAAGAGCGACTACTCCCCCGAATCGGATATGAGGACAAAAGCACTTGGTATAGTCATGGGTAACGTCTCCCTCCCTTTGAGGGGAACTCCCATGTTTGGTACAATGGTATTAAACTGCACAATGTGCCAATTATCAACAATATCATTGATAAGATTATTGCTTAAACAAATACTAAACACCATCAAAGGCAAATAAAACGAACTTAGTTGTCTGTATGTAGTATATGTTCAAATGTATATACATATGTTGTATGTGATAGAAACAGGCGAAATACAAGTAAGTTTTGGTGGGATGACGTTCGATTAGGTAAATAAAAATAGTAAGGGAATACATATACTCAGCACAGCTGACTTGTGAATTTCAAAATGGGTAAAAAGCATATTGTTGATGCTAAGCATATGGCAGACACACACTCGCCGGCACACATCATCAGCCAAAAATGCAATGTACACATACAGATATACTTATATAAATCTATATACACATGAAGGTACATATGTAATTTTTGCTAACACTTACCACCAAATGCCAAATGCACCTGTTCCGGTTGATAATGTACAATATGCACACTACTTTCCAAGTCATCGTCCAAAGTCATAATTGGTTCTTCGGGGCTGCCATTACTGCTGGGGCTGGCCAGGCCCGAAGGCAGAATGAAGCTAAGGGCAAGAAGCACAAGTTGCATTTTGATGGCCATTGGCTATTTTTGTTAACGTTGAATTGCTCCTTCACAAGTTTAGCAATAGCATTGCACAGACAAAAGATAAAACTTATTTGACAACTGCGTCGTTGCTAATTCGTCGATATGTTTGTAAATTAAAACTAACTCAGCACCGCATTTGCGGGAAGGAACGGCAATGATTGGCTTGCATGTAAAATCCAGCAATTTATAGAATGCAAAACAACAACAAACGCACTCCAATTCATCGATTGGTGCGATATCGATATTTTTGGTGTGAAAGTGTGTATGCACTGGTCGAGCGATTGCCTTCATGCATTCATATTTTTCAATTCTTTTAAATGTTTAAGTGGTACGCTATTAATAAGATTTGATTTTTATATTTATTTGACTGTGAACAATTTCCTACAAGCAGGTTTGCTTAATAAATTGTGAACTAGTTGTTTCTGAGTATGCATGATTATTGTTATGATCTGTCTTAAAACATGTACACTATATGGTAAATTCCGACATGTACTCTAAAACCAACCAATGATTTGATCGCCATTAATAATGAAAACAACAAATTTGAATCTATAAGGGTTCAGTCAGTAATTTTAGTAACTAGTTCATCAGCACGAAATCGGAACAAACAGGTTCTTTTTTTGTGCGTACCAAAGATGGTCACACTGTGCTTTAATACCGGAATATATATCAAATCGTCTAGAATTATTTAATTGCAAATTGCTACAAAGTTATTGTGTAGAAAGGTTTGCTTAATTAGAAAAGGCGGTATCAAAATCCACATGGATGATTCCAATGTAAGTAGATGGTAAATGCATATCAGTAAAAAGCTGAGATGAAACAGTGCACATTTTTACAGCCAAATATGCAGCAGGAGCAAGATTTGCCGGGCTATTCCTCTGCCGACGATAGCGGTTCTGAGGCCGAATCACTATCCAGTGGGGACTCAGATAGCTCAGATTCTGAGAACAATACAACAAAGAGTTGGGAAGATGAATATGACAAAATTGCGGGAAAGCCAGTCAAGGAATTCGAAGACTATGCGAAAATGTGTCGCTTAGCATTGTGAGTACAGGACGTAGCTCTACATTATTGGGGCAGCAACTAATCTACAAAATATATCCTTCTTCTGATTTAGGAACTTGACAGATTTCACGAAACTTAAAGCGTCGTTTGCTGAATTCGATGAAAAATATGCTATACCATCAGAACTTTGGTTACATTATCTGCGAAAGCTGATATTAGTAACACAAACAGACAAGGAGCGTAAGGAATTTGAGACTTGGTTGATAAAGGCGATGAAAACATATTATGGTGAGTAGAGAAGAGCATTTAAACTGTAAAATGATTTTACAACTTTTTTTGCAGATACAAAACTATCTGACCTCGTACTCGAGTACTTGATGGAAAAGGGATCGACGGATAATTCCTATTTCTGGTCAAACGTTATGGCTGACTACTCACTAGAATGTCAGCACTACTTTGAAAAGATGCGCACATTCCTGAAGTCCATAACAAACCAGGACGAATGCGACATAATTAACGCACTAGTAAGGGAGTCGTGTCCCAATTGGGATATTAGTAGTAAGGAATCGTATGCGATTTTAGATCTAGTCTTGATTTGTGATGATCTTGTGGCCAAAGCTCAGGCTCAGAATAACGACAAAAAATGGAAGAAGTATTATAGCACGTACCTCCACAAAGTTCGTGAAGATCCAACTATTAACAGCAGGGTCAAAGATGGGCTAAACAGGACAATGTTTGAACGTCTTGTGGCCACATTCCCCGCAGCCGATATACTTTGGATTGGATATATTGAGTACATGCAGAAGAATTCCACGCACGACAGTATAATTAGTAAACCTTCTCCAGCCAGTTCGGAACAAAAGTTGGGGTTTTTAAAAAATTCACCACTTGAATTGGTGAAACGTGCGTTGTTGGCCGGACCCAGTATACGACTAAATCATCTATATTTGCATATGATGGAGCAGGCAGGGTACACCGTCGAACAGATCGACGAGGCACTACAACAAATATTTCCTCGCATCACGAGACAAATGGTCATGACAGTGGAGCTTTATCTAGACTACCTAGCTTATCGTGTGCGCGTACTTAATTCCGAAAGTGAGGAACAAGTCACTGCTTTGCGCACATCATTTCAACAGGTGTGGGATAGCTTGTCCCTTACCTATGGCGATAAGGCAGATACTAACTTTGAAGTCCTGAAGCTATGGGCCCAAGTTGAATATTCCCACCTTAAGTGCCCCGAGCAAGGCAATGCCATATGGCGTCAAATTCTCGGTGAGTAAAAGCAATAATTTAATTAAATTAAGGTGGATCAAAATTCAATACATTTTTCAAATATTTATTGCAGCTTATTTATCTGAAGCGCAACTCTGGCTGGAATATGCCCAAATGGAAACTGAATATAATGGAGCGGCTGGCACTCGTGAAATACTTCAGGAGGCATTGGAACTGAATCTATACAATGCACACATCCTGGAAGGATACTATCGTCGTTTCGAGCGATGCTATGGAACATATGAAACAATCGCCGATTGCCAGGCCCGCCAGGCTACAATCGCACGCTCTTCTATGTTTGTAACCGAGCACCTACACCCACAAAATAGATTTAAGATGGCAAATTTAAAATTTTCAACACCTCAGCAGAGGAATAAACAGACGGACGCAAAAGACAAAACTCGCAAGCATCAGACGGCAGCTAAAGACAAAACCTCCAAACCTCAGGCGGCAGCTAAAGACAAACGTCCCAAGCCCCAAGTAACGGCAGGTCTAGACAATAACCCGCCTAAAGCTCAGCAACCAAGCAAACAGTCAAAGATAGAGAAACAACCTGAAGCAGAGCCCAAGGTCAACTTCACATATTCGGGTTAGTTTTAAAACATTATCTAAAGATGTAAAAGGAATACTTACACCAAGTTTCGTCTGTCTTCCTTTCATAGTCTCTAAGATTGAGGAATTCATACTAATGAGTCTTTAATATTTTTTTGATATCTTTTTTTCCACAGTCGACATGGAGGAAAATAAAATATTTATTAAGAATTTGCATGCCGATTGCACTGAGCACGAGCTGCAAAACATTTTTAAAGATTACGGCGCCATTAAGGATGTGCGTCTCGTGTACAATTTGTGAGTAGTGGTTAAATACGTCTAAACTTCTGCTGATAACACAATGTCCCTTCCAATGAAATATTTAGAAGAAACGTTTTCAAGGGCTTTGCGTACATTGAGTTTGAAGAGGCCGAGCATGCTTCGAAGGCCGTCGCTGGAGCAAATGGTCTTTCTCTGGGCGGGAAGGATGTAAGCAATAAAATACAAATACTTAAAGATCTGATAAACTCTTCTGTTTGCTATTTTCAGATCTTTGTCGCCATCTCACATCCGCCTCAAAAACGCAACTCGGAGAAGTTTGAAAAGCCACTGGCCCAAAAACGTCGTGTACAGACTTCGCTTATACCAACAACGTTTTTGCGTCAGGATGCGGCTGCAAAGCGTCGCAAAATGCTGGACATTGAAATAGAAACTGACAAAGGGAAAAATAATGACGGGGCCACCGCAAGCTCTTCGATCGTATCAAATGGCGGCGAGGGCGCTAAGAAGACAAATGATTATTTTCGTCAATTATTAAATAAATAAAATGTAATATGTTTAGCTCGGTTCGTAGCTATGTACAATACAAACCGATTTGTTTTTATTTAGTCAAACAGATCGATGAAAAAACATCGCTATCCGATGTCCCTATGAACTAAAATACGGCCATTTACAGATGTATGTACTACAAATTTGCTTTATTCATCACACTTGGAATTGGTTTGTCAATGGGACTATGTCTTAAACTTAATGCTCTTGGTGACTGTTGCCTTGATGCCAGATATTTCGCCACCATATCGTTTTGTTTCCTTACGAACTGCTCGCACTGCACCCTTGCGTCGAATGATGGCCTTGCGATACTTGCCGCGGTGCTTTACACGCGGATTGCGCAGCTCCTTCTTTCGGTGTGGGGTGAGGCCTTTGTTTTTGGCAATTTGATAGGTGATACCACGGCGAGATAGCTCAGACTCCTCATCTTCCTGGTCGTCTTCTTCGGCTGTTTCGTGGTCGACGTCATCATCATCATCTAGCTCTTCATTATTCTTTACACTTGCCGTTCCATTGTCTTTATTTTCAAGATCATTTCGCTTCTCATATTTGTTGAGTATCTGCAGTTTGGCTTTGCGCTGCTTTACGTCCAGCACTGTAAATGCATCGCCATCCTGTATGCGCTCCAGCAATGCCTCCAGCTGTGGCCGTATGTATTCCTCGTAGCGTGGCGTCAACTGCTGCCGCACCTGTTTTAGCTGCACAATACGCTTGATGACTGGATGGTGCTTGACGCTGCTGCGCTTGGCCTTGAGCAAGAGATAGAAGGACACGTTAGAGCAGTAGGTCAACAGAACGTTTTGATAGAGGCTGGCAAAAGACAGTGCCGGCACCATAGGCACGTTGTGGTTCCGCACATAGTTAAGCACAGGGGCTGTCAGCTCCTGCACCTCCGCCAGATACTGTTGGAATTCCTGTGTTAGGCCAATGAATTCGGGCGAATCCTTCTGCAGTAACTGCAGGCGTTCGCGTTCGTTTAGACCAGTCAAATCTGCCAAAACATGGATGCTGCCGTCTTGCCTTTTTGTTGTGTCGTCTTCACTGTCGGACTCGGGCAGCTTAACGTTGTCAAGATGAAAATCAGCTTCCTGCATTTGTTTGGCCAAGCGCAACTGTATCTTTTTAGCCTCTTCCTCTTCAGCCAGTGCCTGCTCCTCCTCCTGGGCATTGTAATTGCTGTAATCGGGATCAACAAAATCTGTATTGTAATAGGCGCTCTTTTTGTTTCCCCAGTTCATTGTGTCCGGGAGGTCGCCATCATCATCCTCAGCCCCTTCGATATCGCTGTCACGCATTAACTCGCCAACATCGTCGTTGTTTGCCGCATCGTCCTCGTCGCTATCACTGAATAAGAGGACCTCTTCATTTCCATCTTGTTCGTTGCGTTCTTTGCGTTCCTTACGCAAATCCTCTATCAATTCACGCTCATCCTCATCATATTCCAACTCGGAGTCGGTCAGCTCATAATTATCATCTTCGCTGTCCATTTCCAACTACGACTATCGTTTACTGATTGAACAAAATAAACTAAAAAATTCAAAAACTATAAACTACACGTGCAGCAAGCAAATGGTCTAGGGATGGACCAATTCAGGTCATGTAGCGCTGCCATAGTATACTCATTAAATGGCGCTGCCAGATGAACAGATTTTTTGATTTGTCACCACCTTGCCTGCCATTATCAACGAACTTTTACAGTTATAAATTCATTTTCTTACGAATCGTTTATTGGGTCGCTAGTAGTGAGTCCTGTACGAAATGGAAAAAGAAAATGAAAATAAAGCCGTAGAATTACATTCACCAAGATCGACAAAGTCTGCCGTTGCTTCGCATAATAATCAATTACAGAATTATGAGTCCATCACTTCACCGCAAAATTTGTGTCGCAAAAATGAAAGTTTAGTCGCCGGAATCCAAAATATGTCTCGTGCTGATTACGTTGCCAATTGGCTGAACGAAAATTACAAATTTCTAAACGAATCAGATGTTTCGCCACCACCCGAATTTTTAGATTTCTCTGCCAGCAATTGCGTTCAATCAACTAACGTAGATGCAGAGGAACCAATTGAGTGTAAGGATTCCAATAAAGTTTTGGGTGACAGCAATGATGAAGGATTGTTGTCCCAGTTTGCCCCAAATCCTTTCATTGAAGCCATAGAAAATGTGTCTTTGGAAAACACAACCGTAGAACTAGCAAAGGACGAAACGCCTGAACGGATCATGTTTGAAATTATGCAAATACATGTGGCAATCCCCGATTATGCCCTTGTAAATAAAATTTAAAAACGTTGAAGGAAACATTATAGTGCACTCTTTTTATTACAGTCCGATACTATATACAATGTGGATCGGCCCCTGGAAGCTATACCCTTAGATCTGGACATTCCACCTATGCCGTTACCGGCGCATTGCAAAATTGATGCTCTGCTGCGAGTTCATGTTTCAGAGGTTGGAAATGTTGCTCATTATCAATTCAATGGTAATTTAAAATATCATCCGGTTATTGCAGGTGTATTCGCCCTTTCAATTTTGGTTTCATTTCACAAATACTGGTTATGATCCGCATGAGCGTTTTAGCTATGAGTTAAAGTAAGGATTTGCATTGAAGCGTGCTAAAATTTATGTCGGACCAGTTTCTCTATCGATTACACATTGCATTTTAACAAGTTCTGAAAAATATACCAACACAAGAGCTGGACCAACATCGTTTTAGTGTCTAACTAAAATATATTTTTTTTAATCGTATTGTCGCCATTTCAGTTTGTTTTATTGCCAGCAGCAGGAGACGCGATGGAATGTGGGCACATACTTTATAAGGCCCGGAGTGATTTGTGCGGCCGCCTATTTGGGAACTTGGCGTCGTGCTAAAATTTTGGCCGAGCCTCGGCCGAGCACTGTCATGGTATATTTTATCGACTATGGCATTGTGGCGGAAGTTGCGCATTCCGATCTGAGGTTTCTACACTTGTCTTTCTCTGAACTGCCAGCGCTTATATCGCGCGGTACACTCTCCCACGTTCATCCACTGGGATTGCATTGGCATCGCGATAGCACTGCAGGGTTTAAGGAATTGGTCAAATCGGCCGACCTATACGCCCGCGTTACGGATATCGATCATACAGTGAGTTAATCATGGCAGAGTCTTCAGCACGATGCAAGAATTAAACTAAGACTTGCTTTGAAATATACACTTTTTATGCATCAATTAATTATTAATAATTAATTACATAAATTTAAATTGGCTTTTCCACTACAAAAAAAAAAAAAAAAAAAGATTTTAAATTATGCAGCTTACAAATTAATTGGAGTAGTTGTGCTTTTCGAAATGAAAATTCCGCACAAAATCTAATTGATCCAGTTTGCAAATGCGAACAGGCTTGATATTCTTTATTTTAAGTGCCACGCTAGTTTTTATTGTACGGAAGCAAACTTTAATCACTCCAATCTTATTGGAGTGCAATAACAATTGTCGTCGCTTAACTATCTAACTAAAACTTTTCGCTTATTTAAATCGAACGACAGCTATATACAGAAGTCTATCAGATTTTTTCCCATTTCATGAACAAATTCCTTTACATAATGGTACTGAAATTGACTCGGGAAAGGCCTTCATATCGTAATAATTAAAAAACTAAGACTAAGGCAAGTTATGCAAATGAAATTGATGCTAAAGGCAAACATATACAATAAATAATACGAACTTAATGCCAACTAATAAGATAATGTATATATCTTAAAGTGTAGTTAAATTGTATAACTAAATGACAATGGAAATAAAATATATTTATTGAAACAATCCCTCATCTTTCAGGATCGCGTTGTGACTATGGATTTGTCATATAATAGCAATTTCAATCCAACATTTGGGATGATACTAACTAAAGTTGGCTTGGCTGGTATGAGCGAGCACTTTAAGAAGGACTATCGAGATATCTTCGCTGGATGTCGAATTCGCTATTTGCGCGAACGCCTCCCCACGTAAGGAAATCCACATCCCAGTTGATGGCATAATTGCTTAATAAAATGTTATATCGCTTGCAGCTTCGAGATGCTGGAGAATCACACATTTCCGGTTGATGCCGATAACGCTTTCGAGGATGCATTCGACAAAATCATCTATGCACCCGATTTCTTTGACAAATTCAAGCCGCCCAAGCTAAACAATCCGTTTCGCATAAATCTCGAGAACGCTCTCGCTAGTTGGTTGGAGAAGAACAAGAAGGAGGAAACGGAACTGAGGAAGCTATACAAAGAACATAAACGCAAACTGAAGCAGCAATTTAATAAACAGCAATGCGAACTTTTGGAAGAAACTATTCCCCGGCCACTGTAGCGTAGATTGCCCTTTCTAGCATGAGCCTTTTAAATAATTTCCTTTTTTTCACATACTTTACGATTTAAATCGTATATGTAGCTCCGAAGTCTATATCAGGCAGGTACCTTCATGTAATCGAATATATGTATTAAAAAGTAGTTGAAATATTCAATTATTAAACAAGGCGCTTAATTCCAAAAATCCTTTTTGAAATAGAATAATGTATAAAAAATAATAAATTAAAAAGGCATTCTATTCGTTTAGTTTTAATTAAATTTGTTCAATAAATTGCAATTTGTTGCCTACTGTTTTAACAAATCTCTATAAACGGATCCTGGGTATTTTGAACTTACTACATATATGGCTTTAACTTAAATATTTGGCATTCAAAAAATTCGAAACAAATGTGTATTATATTAATTTTAGAATTTGATTAGCGTATGTATGCGTCGATTTTCCCGTTCTGTGGGTGCTTTTTGTAAGTGTTGGTTGGGTTGTCTGTTTTGTCTTAGTTGGGGCTACTAGTCAGGGCTGTGCGATACAAGACAAGACGTGTGTGGCGCAGATACAATAGACATTTTTTTGCGATTGGCTGTGTGGAACACGGCATTCGGAAAAAAGTACCATTGTAGTCCCTGGGCCACTGTCATCGCCTTGAAATCGGAATCATTTTGGGCCGCGGGCAGTTGAGTTACGTCTAGTCCATGATTTCTTTTAAACGCTCAATAGCATGTGGGGACAAAAGCACTTTGAGCCGCAAGCGTCTGCAAAAAAGAAAATGGAGAAAACATACAATTAGGCCCCCAAGGTGGAAAGAGGGGCTTGCATAATTATAAACTTTGTTATTATGCAGCAGATGAGAATTTTCGTGCGTGGAGAACTGGAACCTAAAAATTAAAAAAAAAACTTTTCTAGAAAATAATTAAAAATTAATAAATTCGCAAAATGTCTCATCTTGCATAAATTAAAGCCAAGCCAAATCGATTTCCGATCGGAAACGGAAACGGTATTGAAAATGTCTGTAAATGAAAAGATTTATCGTTCCATGCATACATACCTCTTGGATCACTGCTCGAAAATCCGACGCAGAGCACGTACATTGGGCGATGGAGATGGCGGAGTCTCCGGATCGATCATTTCAAATGAGGACATGGCGTAATCTCCGCCTGGAGTATTTGCTGTTGTGTGAGCAGCGGCCATGGCCTCATGCTCCTGCACATGCTTCCGGACATTCTTGTACGTGTAGGCTGATGACCCCGACGGGTCTGTGGACGTTGCGTACTCGTTATTGTTTGGCGGCGTTGTTGGGGCTGTCGGCCGGGTACTTGTCGTAGGCAGATCTTCGTAGCTGCTGCTGCTGCTGCTGGTGGTGCTGCTGTTGCTGTTGCCGCTATTATCGGACAGCTCCATGACGCCCATGCGCATCAGGTTCTGTGAAGTGCCCGGCTCATCCTTCCCATTGCCATTGCGGTTTTTAAAGACCTTCAGCCACGGTAGTATCAACGAGATTTGATGCCAATGCGCTGTAGCCGATCCCAGCGGCTGTGCCTTCTCGTCAAGAGTCAGGTTCTCCAAGTGGGGCTCTTGCTTCTGGTGTGGGTGCTGATGATGATGATGATATGAAGCTGGACGATGGTGGTACGCGGCAATGGTGGTGGTGAGGGAGACATATTCGGGCGCTGCATCATCGCTCTGACAGTCGTTCATGCGCAGGATGCGTGTCTCCTTGCGACAAAGCGCCAGCGGATCGCTGTGCACCTCCATGGTGTCCACAGTCTCCATGGCCTCAGCGGCCAGCGGCGCTGTATGCATGTCCGTATCGTACGCGCTGCTGCTATGATCCTCCTGTTCTTGCAGCAGCAAATCGGGATGCTCCTGGAACTCTGCCATTACTGTGGTGGTGGTGGTCGATGTTGCCGAGAAGTGTCCCAAATGTAAAGGCTCCGACTCGGATTCCATCAGTGTTGTGGACGTTGCTGCCAAATTGTGGGGACTCTGCGCTCGAGCCGCTGCCGCTGCTGCCTGGCCGCGTGCCATATTGCTGCTAGAACGTGAGTTGCCATAACGCAGACGCTGCTGGAGCATGGCGCGTTTCTCCTCGTCCGGTCTCTGCTGACCCAGCGCCAAGGTTGTTGAGATCAGCGCCGCATCGGCGTGGCCCACTTGCGCACCCTGTTGATTGCGCGAATGTCCGGCGGCCTGCCGCCGCTGGCGTCGCTGTCCCAGACGCTGTAAATTGCTCCTGGACTGGGCATTGCCGTAACTGATGCGCTTCGCTGCACGCTCTCGCCGCTCCACAGCTTCGCGTCTGGCGTCGGCAGCCGCCAGCATTTTGGCTGTCATGCGCAGCTCTCCGCGCATATAAAAATGGGCGCCCGTCTCGGCGAGCTCCGCGTTGCGGCGCGAGATCTCCTTACCCAGCTGCTTTGAGCGAGCGAGTGCCTCGAGGCGTTGGATGTGCTGTTGATTCTCCGGTGTGGCCAACACCTGGGGCGGTAGACGACGCCGGGACGACGTCTTTACGTTGCCAACATTACTAGTGCAGGAACTGGCGCCAGCGGTGGTGCCACTACCGCCAGCCGACTCCTTGATCTCCTCGATCTCGCGAAACAGACGCTTTAAGCGCACCTGACGCATCTTCAGCTCGATGGTTCGGTCATTGAACTCCTGGATGCGCTCGTATTCCTCGCGCAAGCGCTGCAATTGGCCGTTCTTCTTACTGTTGTTGAACATGCGCCGAAAAAAGGGTGTGGACTTGATCTGGTACGACATTTTGTTCCTGATTGACGAATCTAACCTCAACTGACTTTTTAAGAATTCTGTTATTTCTTCTTTTCTGTCGCGCTTCGCGTTTAATGATTTCGCGGGCAATTTGGAATCAATTTCTTTTGGGTATTATGCAGAAAATCGACGACTGTACACGCTTATTTTTGAACTTTTTGTTGCACTCGAGAATTTTGTACGCTTTCCTAAAAGTTTTTTACGAGAGAATGAATTACGAAATAGATTTTTTCATGTGTGCTGCTTTTTAAAGTTTTGTGGCTAATGCTGAAATGACACTTTTCGATTTCAAAGCGGCCTACTCAGATGATACATATGTACATAAATAGTAAAAGACAATTTCGTCTTTTCAAGCGACATATGTATGTATGTAAGCAGTATATTTATTTCGTTTGGTAAATTATAAATATTTTAAAGTCCACAATATAGTTATTCTAGCTGCAAGTCAATTGAAGCTACATTACATAAAATACAATAAATATTCATAAAATGCACATCACAGACGCACAATTCACATTTAAATACAGACTTGGAACATTGACATACAAATTAAAAATTAGCTTATAATGTAATAGTAACTCCTCAATTATCGTCACTTGGCCAACTGGGACATCATGCGTACCAGTTTGTCTTCGTCGGCGCCACTGAACTTTCCCACACGTCTGTTGTTCTTGATGAAGACGAATGTGGGCAAGGAATTGACTTTATATTTCTCGGACAGCTCATCGTATTTGTCTGTATTGATCTTGATGATGACAGCTTTTCCGGAATGTTGGGTGGCCATCCTTTTCACGGTCTTCTCCATATCCTTGCACGGACCACACCAGGTGGCATAAAAGTCAAGCACGACCAGTTTTCGATCAGCAGCCTCGAGGCGTTTGTAAAAATCGTTTATTGAACGAATGGCCGTCATTTCAAAACCACTTGTCTTTAATTCCTATTAATTGTCTATAGATATTAGAGTGGCTGACGTTAACTAGCTTAGTTACTATCACAAAATGTCGTCTTTTTAGCCGACGCTGGTACTTATAGGCAGCATTCTCTTCGAATATCAACTGGAATTATAACGGCGCATCAGGCTTGGAGAAAAATTTATGTACCATATTCAAAATGGCCACACATATGTATGTGCGAAGCATGTGGTTGCTATAAAACGGGACTATTCCAAAAGTGCAGTGCTGCCACATATTTTTCCTTATATGGCCACTGTGCTCGTTGGAAGCGCGCGCGATACGTTAACTTTGTTCGTACCTAAAAAAAGCCCGTGCTATTTAAATTTGTATAAACTCTTGCGTTCGGACAAAAATTGTGTTTTAATAATCAGAAAATCGACATTATCAATTCGTTTTTAAAATATGTTAGCATTGTTTACGCTTAACAAACGCGTTAAGTTTTTATGGGAGTGAATTATTTCGTTCGAGAAAAGGTACAATTATTGTAAATCGAACTTAACTTCCCTGAAAGTGAACGTGGCGAAGTGTGCGCCTTATCTAGACGTCAATTTTTGAACACCAAACGGACCGGTTTAGCTAAAAAAAATATCCGTAAGCACTCTCCTTGAATTGTACCGAAAACGAAACGTTGTCTGTTTCTGTTTTCAGTTGACGTACATTTGACGCCGCTATGGTATACCTTGTGCAGAACAAAGAAGACCTGGATCAGCAATTGGCCGACGCTGGTGAGAAGTTGATCGTTATCGACTTCTATGCCAATTGGTGTGGACCATGCAAGATAATTGCTCCTAAGTTGGAGGAGCTGGCATTACAATATGCTGACCGTGCTGTTGTCCTAAAGGTGAATGTTGACGAGAACGAGGATATCACCGTCGAATACAATATTACCAGCATGCCGACTTTTGTGTTCATCAAGAATGGTGAAGTACTGGAAATATTTGTCGGTGGAAATTCTGATAAATTGGCAAAATCAATGGAGAAATATGTGGGTGGGACCGATGTACCGCCGGAGCAGCTTCAGACAGTATCGAGCTCGCCCTCCGAAAGCGGCGCCAGCAGTAGCGGAGTCTGCGAGCTACGCAGTCATGCCGAAGCTGAGTGCGAGCCGGCAATGGATGGCGAGGGCGTTTTAGAGAACTAGCACCATATTTAATACTAATAGTACTTTATTGTTTAACCATTAAGCACCAAAATACACACACACACGCACATGAAGACACATTTGAAAATATGTACAATCGGCAGGATGTTATGGAAATGGTGACGGAACAGATTTCCAAATTATAATGTTCAATAAAACTTGTCTTGTTGCTAAATGGAAAAAGAAACATGTTTTTAACGTTTCTTTGTAGCATTTAGAGTTTATTTCTATTTATATTTAGCGCAGTTAAAAAAAAGGACCCTGCATATTCAAAATAAAGCTTTGAATGGTGCGCGGATAGTATTTTCTACATATCTGTATGTAATTAATCGTATTCTATTATGTCCGTTTACTTCTTGGCGAACGTAATCTTCATAGCATGTGTGGGCGTTATTTTGAAGCCTTGCAACGCCTCCTTGGCTGCATTACTCTGCAGTTCGGTGGTGAACTCGACGAAGGCAATATCGTGACGATTAGGCACCAAACGCACTTCTTTGAAGCCAGGAAACTGGTTGAACAGCATAGACAGCATCATTTCGTTAGTCTCCTCGGGCAAATTGGTGAGGAAAAGAATTTGATTTGGTGGCTGTTCCGTTTGTGTATTGGGGTTGGCGTTTTCGGCACTGCTGGGCTTCTTCTTTTTATCTCTGTGAAATGGAAAAGTCATTTAGGAGTTCATTGAACACCCACTTCTTTAAAACTTACTTCTTTTCGTCGGCGCCTGGAGCCGGCTTAGGTGGTTTCACCTTCTTTGGACGCTCCTTGAATGTACCCTTCAGCTTGGCCACAATATCCGAGTCCGATTTGGCATAGGCAATGCGCATTGGTTTGTCATAGAAAGGAAATCCTTGCATGGTGCGCAAGGCGTTGGAGGCGCTGCCTATCTCCTTGAATACGACAAATGCCTGACCGCGCATTTTCAGTGTTTTCATTGCAACAATGTCTAGAATTTGGCCAAACTGAGAGAAAATAGCGTAAAGCGATTTCTTTAACTCCTCCTTCTTGATCTTTTCGTTCAGGTTGTTAATGTAGATAGTTTGATTGGGGCGAACGTCCATTTTGTAGCTTTTATTTTTTTTTTTTTTTTTTTGATTTAGGTTACTTTGCACAGTTTAATGCAAAGAATTATTTGGCCGTCCACGTTGGTTACGAGGAAAACGCCATCACCAATTGTGTTTTTAGTGCGATGTTAGCATTTAAATATTAGACTTAATTGTGTTTAGAAATTGTGTGATTGATTTGTATGAGCTGGTATTTTCGTTAGCAAAAAAGTTATAAATGCTGTTGTACTTTAGCAGTGTTGGGAATTGCTGTCTTGTAGTGGTATATTTTATACAGCTGAAGATTATATGCGAGGCGTTTTCCACCACTTCACATGCGTCACATGTGTTGCAGTTTATCACCTTCATTTTGGCTAGTGTTGCTTTATCAAAACAGTGGCCTGATAAGAGTCTGTTTATTTGTTTACATTCTGCGCTTGAGAGCTCGCCTTTATATTGATGAAACCAAGGTATTTTCACGAGGCTGGGGAAAAGTGCGGTGTAACCTCTATTTCTGTTGGCTGCGAAGTTCCAGTATTCTGTTTCCCATTGGTTTTGGATTAGTTTGCGGATTGAGTTGATAGCGTCGTTGATTGACCATCTCATTATTATAAATGATCCATGAAAGGGGGCCACTTTTGCGGCGGCATCTACCAAAGAGTTTTGGGGAATGTCTTTATGACCAGGTATGTAGTGGATCTCAACGGAGCGGATTTGATTATTCTCTTTTATTTTCAGTAGGATGGTTTTGGCAATGTAGCTGGGTTGAATGGATTTCTGAAGGGCCTGAATGCCGCTGCGGCTGTCTGTAAGGATGGCTATATTTGAATAATTGTGAGATATGGCATGATCTAAGGCTTTGTCTATTGCAATCAGTTCTGCAGTGAGCGACGATGTAATTTTGTTGGTATAGAAACTGTCGATGAACTTGGAGTTATTGTGGAGGAATGCAGCGCTGGAGTGAGTATTAGTTACTGAACCGTCTGTGAAGAAAACTTCAAAATTCCTTTTTTGGAGGCCTTCTAGTTTTTCTTGGAATAGCTGATGGATTATGTTCGGATTCGCTTGATGTTTGTTTGTTGCCGATCCTTTAAAGAAGTTTGTGTCCGTGCAGAGCTTGAAGCAGTAGATATATGTGTTGTCGTGGAGTTGGATATGGTTTAGAATATGTGAAAATTCGTTGTATATTTTTGCATAGTTTGTATTGCATGATGAATTGTGAAGTAAAGTTTTGCTAGCCGGTAAATTGTACGCGAAGACTTTGACCAGTTCTTTGGCTGTTAAGAATTTCATTCTGTATTTTGGGGGCAGCTCTGCTGCTAGGTGGTAGATGATATTGATTGGAGTTGATTTAATCAACCCCAGTGCTCTTCTTAGATGAAAGTTCGTGTGTACGGCGATCTTGTCTGTAGCTTTTTTCGAGAGGTTGCTGAAGGATGAGCAAGCGTATTCCAACTTTGATCTTATGAATGTTCTGTAAAAGAGCAGGCCGCGTTTGGGATTCACCCCAAATTGGCATCCGTTCAACAACCTTAGAAAGGCGCATGACTTGTTGGAGTTTGAGATGACTTGAGTTATGTGGGAAATTGGGGAATTGTTTGCTGAAACGAATCTTCCCAAGTATTTTATTTGGTGAACTTCTTTTAAAGGTTCTCCTGCGTGTGAGATGTTTAAAAGATGTCTGCGAGAGTTGAAGTGTATGATGTTGGATTTGTTTGGGTTAAATGAGAGGTTAATTTTTTTGCATTCCTGTACAAAGGTTGAGATTTTTTCCTCTAAGAGATTTCGTGCTACGATGAAGTTCGGGTGGAAGCATAGGAGAAAGAAGTCGTCAGCAAATTGAAATAAAATGCAGTTTGAATCTGTTATTCTGTGCAGGTCCTTTGTGTAGAGGTTGAAAAGAGTTGGACTGAGACAGCTGCCTTGACTGACTCCTCTGTTGATTGTAGTGCTGCTGTCACCAAGAATTAAAATTCTTTTTTGAAGGAACCCTATGATCCAGGCTGTAATGTGAGGATTGAAGTTCATTTTTTGCAATTTATTGGATAGAATGGAGATATCCACGCAGTCAAATGCCTTCTGAAGATCAACGCATGCAGCCACCACTTGGTAACCTTTTTGTTTGAGGTCTGATGTTATGTTTATTAGGTCGTTAATGCATTGTGATGTTGAGTGGTTTTTTCGGAAGGCGTAGGATCTTTTAGGGAAAAGGTTCAATGAGTTAATGTGTTCGTCTATTTGGAACTTTATAAGTCCTTCCAGTGACTTTAGGAGAACGCTGAGTAGGCAAATGGGTCTATAATTTTTGACGCTTGATTGGTCCAAGCTTTTCTTCGGGATTGGTACTATTTTGATTTTTCTCCATTCCTCTGGAATATCACCCTTCAGCCATGTTTTGTTTATAATGTTGAATATATCTTTCTTTTTTTTCGGAGGTTAGAGATTGAAGAAGTTTGTAGGACACCCCATCCAGGCCTTTTGCGGATTCTGGATTTTTATTGTTTAGGAAAAAAAGGAAGTCTTCAAAAAGCAGGGGAGTGGGAGGGGTCTCGCTCAGATGGAGATTTGCTGGATTAAACTGTGTAGTGTTGCTTGTGATAGTTGGAATATTTTTCAAAAGCTTGAGGAAAGATTCGTTATCATCTTTGGACCAGCTGTTACCAACTTTCTTGATTTGTTTGTAGCTTTTCAGGTTTTTTAGTTTATTCCACATAATCTGTGGAGAATCAGAGAGCTCTTGAAGGAAGTTGCTGAAATTTTTCTTTTTACAGATATTTATATGTTTCTCCAGGTTTTTTTCTGCTTCGATAAGAAGTCTGGCGTCGGTGAACTTTTTAGTTAAATAAAATTTTTTCCTGCAAGCATTTCTGATTCTGAAGAGTTTTTCGGCCTCTGGGTTCCACCATTTTTTTGGGGTATATCTATTGTTAGTTGGAATTGTGATGGTATTTTGAATTTGTATTTTTTTTAAATCTGAATGTAGTTTGTTGAGATTGGAGAAGTTAAGTTGTCCAAAGTCCTTGGATAATTTATTGTATAGAGTTTTTTTGGTTAGAACGTTGATATGAGTAGAATTAATTTCAATGAGTATTGGGAAGTGATTGCTATTCGTTAGTTTGTTATTGGAGGTTTGCCAGGAAATATGTAGATTTGCAGCGTTGGAGAAAGTGAGGTCAAGGAAGGAAAACTGTACTGGGCTATGTGAGTAGGTGGGTGATCCGTCATTTAAGCATATGAATTTGTTGTCAATCATGGCTCTTTCTATTGTATGACCTTTGGCGTCTGTGGATGAAGTTCCCCATATGGTAGATTTAGCATTAAAGTCTCCTCCTATTATTGATGGATGTGTTAGAGAGGCGCTTATAGCAAATAGTTCTTTTATACCAGTTTTGAAGGTGATGAGATTAGTGGAAGGGGGGGAATAGGCACTGAAAATGTTGATGTTGTTGGAGAGGTTTAAAGTTTGAATTCCTATTGCTTCTATTGAACATTTGAGATTTAGCAGTTTAAATTTAATATGTTTTTTAATGTATATACCAACTCCTCCGTATCCATCATCTCGTGTCTTACAGAAAAAGTTAAAATCGGCCAAACTGCTGGATGAATTATCTTTAATCCAAATTTCTGATAAGATCGCTATGTCAATGTTGTTGTTAACGAGATACATTTCCAGAATATTTTTATTGTTTTTACTTATTAAACTTTGAATATTTAATTGTAAGATTTTCATGGTGTATTTGTGGTTGAGAATGGAAGTATTTGGTCGTTTATTTTGGCTGCATCTATTTTTGCGTTAGCGTAATTGAGTTGATCTCTTAATTTTAACAGAAAGGTTTTGGTGTCGGCCTCTTCGAAATTGTTATTTTGTTTGCCGATGAATGCCGAAAGTTGAAGTAACACCTGTGTTAGTTCTTTCTCGGCAATTTGTTCGGGATATTTTATGGGGATGAAAGCGTTTTCTTGCAGTTGAAAAGTATTTTCTGTGATAGTTTGCCTCCATTCATTCATGGTGGCAAGAGCTTTTTCGTTTTCCCTAATTTTGTTTTTATTGTTTTTTACAGTATTGGCGAAGGAAGTGAGGGAGTGGATTTCTCTGGCAGCCTCTTTGTTGCTGTCATAAGTATTAGTTACAATTGAGTTGGACCATATAGGTTTGGGAAAGGCCTGTTCATTTAGGTGGTCGGGAGCTTCTTTATGAAAAAGGGATGGATATTTAGCACGCACTTCTTGTCTTGATAGATTTTCTAGTGCCATACATTTTTGGATGGCAAATGCCTTCTTTCTGGCTGGGCAGCTGGTATGGATTGCAGTGTGTTCCCCCTTGCAGTTGCAGCATCTTGTGTCAGTACATACAATGTCCTTGCCGTGGCTTTCTCCACACTTAATACACTTTGCTTGGCTGCATTTGCAGTGCTGTGCAAAGTGGCCAAATCTGAAGCAGCGGTAGCATTGTGAGAAAGGAATGAAGGGGTGTACTTTGACTTTGGTGTACATAAAACTTATTTCATTCGGAATTTGATTTCCTAGAAAGAAGAGTTTCACTCTGTTTGTGGGGACGAGAAGTTCTTTGTTGTCTTTGTCTTTTCTCATTATTCTGAAAATTTCAATAATTTGGATGGGCGAAGAGATAAATTCTTTTAGGTCGACATCATTGAAATTAGTAGGGACTCCAAAAATTAACCCTGCTTTACAGATAAAATGTTTGAAAATTTTTGGATCATAGCCTTCTGCTCTTAAGCGAACGTCTTTTTGAAGGGCGTTTGCACCTTCTGCAGAGCTACACGTGATTTTGCATCTGCCAAATCCTATTTTACTGATATCGACAATTCCATTAAGATTAAGTTTATGTATAACTGCCGATAAGCTGATAGCATTTATCGGTGCCCTTTCCGTGCCCGTTTGACGTTTGTCAACATAGACTATGAAAGCACCTTTATGTGCTGAGTCATATTCATACCTGACAATAGGATTTTGAGATTTTTCTTGATTCATTGATTCATTTTCTTGACTATTTTCCTCAATTACCTCCATGCTTAATTGTTTGGTCGGTTCGATACTTTTAATTGACTTCTTAAGTTCGTTGATAGAAGGATAATTTGCCTGTTTGGATAAGCCTAGTGGTTTGGTAGTGATTTTGTATTTGCTGACGCCCCCGGGAGGGGGGCGCTTGGTTGCCATTTTTCTTTTTAACTTGTTTCTTGATTCCGTGATTTTCAATTTTTGACTTCGGGATGGAAAATTCAAAATTGGAAGGAGAAAGAAAGAAAGAAAAAAAAAAAAAAAAAAAAGAGATGTCAAAAGTGACGGTTGAATGGGGTAAGCAGTCTTTTTTTTCCAAATTACGACCTCTCGGCTCGGATGATGAAAAGCGACTGTTGTAGCTTTTATTTCAATTCTTTTACAAATACTTCCTATTTACAATGCGCGTGAAAATTTATTTAGCTTGGCAGCGGCGACCGACTAGGGATGCAATTCTTTCGATAGCAGTCTTACCGATATGTGTTCTCATCGATGTTTACTCAGGTAACTCCGCAATGCACGTTTGTTCCTTTTTTTTTACAGATAATTTTGAATTTAATAATACTCTAATGCTTAAAATATTGCTACGTTACATAAAATTTGTATTAATCTATATATAAGAAATCAACATATCGATAACGTCGATATGAGTAACTTCGCAATGCCCGTTTGTTGTTTTTTTCACAGTTAATTTTGAATTGAATAATACACTAATGCATAAAATATTGATATATTCCCTAAAACTTTTATTAAATATATATATAAAAGAAATCAACATATCGATATCGTCGATATGAGTTAACGATGTCCAAAGGAAATTCTTACCTACCGGTTATCGCTTTGCCGGCATAATTCTACTATCGCCGGAGCGGTCTAATAAACGAGTTTATGATTTGGAATCCCTTTTGTTTTTCTTTTTAAAACCTCTGTGCCTACAATTGCTCGTATGTTTCCATGCTCGGACGACAAAAAGGATCGCTATGCCAAGCTGTCTTTCCTTGGTGAAGGTCAAGTAAGTGATCTGCTCCTGCATCTGCATCCCAGAATCGGAACATGGTATTTATTTTCGAGCTTTTCTTCAATTTTGTCTAGTTTGCCATTGTGTACAAGGCACGCGACACCGTTACCAGTCAAATTGTGGCCGTAAAAAAGATCAAGAAGGGCAGTCGAGAGGATGCCCGCGATGGTATTAATCGCACGGCACTGCGCGAAATTAAAATCTTACAAGAGCTGCACCATGAAAACATTATTGGTCTGGTTGATGTTTTTGGCCAGCTCTCAAATGTCTCACTGGTGTTTGACTTTATGGACACCGACCTCGAGGTTATCATCAAAGATACCAAAATCATACTCACTCAGGCCAACATTAAGGCGTACGCGATTATGACTTTACGTGGACTAGAGTACCTGCATATGCACTGGATACTTCATCGGGATTTGAAGCCTAACAATTTGTTGGTGAACAGTGACGGTGTACTGAAAATTGGTGATTTCGGCTTGGCCAAAAGCTTTGGCTCACCAAATCGCATCTACACGCACCACGTGGTGACGCGCTGGTATCGCTCCCCGGAGCTGCTGTTCGGTGCCCGCCAATATGGTACAGGCGTTGATATGTGGGCAGTCGGTTGCATACTGGCCGAACTTATGTTGCGTGTACCCTTTATGCCGGGTGACTCAGATCTGGACCAGCTGACGCGCATATTTGCCACCCTGGGCACACCCACCGAGGCCGATTGGCCGCACATTACAAAGCTGCACGACTACCTACAGTTCCGTAACTTTACGGGGACGCCCTTGCAACACATTTTCACAGCAGCCGGCAATGATATGATTACATTAATGCGTTGCCTCTTCGCCATGAATCCGCTAAAGCGTTGTTCGTGTCGGGAGGCGTTAAGTATGCCGTATTTTGCAAATAAACCGGCACCAACCGTAGGACCTAAGCTCCCCATGCCATCGGCGATACTTGCGGCAAAGGAAGGCGCCAATGCTCAGGCCGGTGACGAAAAGCCGGTGGGGCTGAAGCGCAAGCTCGTCGAGACGACAGTGCGTGGCACAATGCTGCCTCAGAAAAAGAAACTCCAATTCTAAAGAGTCCCAGACCTAATGTTATTCGCCAAATGCATTTATGTACCAATAGTTTAATAATGAATCTGAGATGGCGCGAGTAAGAGTATAACATTAAGAGTAAACATCATGATAGCGATGCTTTAACTGTTGATGTTCTTGTCTTTTCTGTTTTTAAAATATACTTTCCAATCGTCTTTCAAAATTTGTAGTGATAGTTTCGTTGCACCGTAGAAGGGAGAGAGCTAGCGAGCTAGCGAGCGAGAGAGCGAGAGAGGGCGAGAAACCAGAAGCAGCACGGGAATTGTCGGAGGAGCATGTCGGTGAAAAAATGGGGCACGGAGCTTGCGCGCACGGAATTAGCGCGTCGTCAGCGTGCCGAACTGCGCTTTCGGTACGGCAATAAGCTGTCGGATCTGAATCTGCGCAAGCTTCGCAGCAAGCAAAGCAATGGGCCGGCATCGGCACTGCCAGGACAGAAACGTCTGACAGCATCGACGCCGGCGCAGGCGCCGAATAAAACAGACGCTTCTGCTGCCACCGACGACCGCTTGCCGCAGGTGCGCTGCATTGCGTCCAGCTATGCGGGTGTGCGGGACGTTGGTGTTTTGACTACGCCGACACTGTTCGAGGACACCGAGCAGGATGTGAAAGAGGAGAGGGCTGAGGTTTTAATAAAAAGCGAAACAATGCCTCAAGCCCCATCCCCAGCCCCACTATCCCCATCATTAATATTAAAGCAACAATCAGTGCAGTCGTCGCCAGATGAGGAGAAGAGTAAACCCGCTTCGCGAAGCTTGTATGTTCCTGTCGTGGAGAATCGCGCCACTGAGCGTTGGCAGCAGTTGGCCGCCACTGTGCCGGCGCTGTTCCGCGCTAGACGGCGACGGTTCAAATGCATGGATGAGCGTCAACGTGAGAGGCGTGAGCTGTTCGATGCATTCACGTCCAGTTTTTGTCGTGGCCGCGCCTAACCAGCTTATGTTCGACTTCTTTTTCTTCTTGACTTGAAGACATACATATATATATATAAGAAGTTCTGGTCCGTAATTAGGTTTAAAACTACAAACGCAATCGAGTCCAATCCGATTGAATTGATCGAATATAAAATATTCTTTTGACCCCATTAAATTCGTGCAAATAATAAAAAAAATAATTGGTGCTCTCAAATAATAAGTTTTTCGCGTCGCCGGAAATAGTCAACATTAATTTAGGTATGCTAGCTTTACATACATACTTATATACTTCCTTGGAAATGCACTTCTCCGATTCAAGCTTTGAAACATTATTCTTTATAACATCAAGAATCATCATTATCTTTTAAAATCCTTATTCGATTTCTTAGTAAAAGAAAAAGTGGTTCATACGAATACTTGTGCAAAGTTTTCTAGGGCAGCTACATATATGATATAGTAGTCTGATCCTAAACTATCTCACCAACGAACGTCAAATTTAGCAAGATAGTTTAGATGGAAACAAAAAAAAATTATTTAAACATAACCAATTCACTTGATAGTTCCTAATGATAGCCTTATATAGTTTCAGGAATAAGAAGTCTATGCAGGGACTGTAATCATTATGAGTGTTATTAAAAAAAATCACAAAATAATGATTATTTTTAATTTTATTAATTCGTTCACAATTTAATAATTAATTTTGAGTTTTACTTTAATTATTAACCAATAATCATTATTTTTGAGCAAAAAAATAAAACGCAAGCTGTAGATTTGTCTAGCACATAAGGAGAAAATTTGTATATATGTATCTTTAATCAGTGAGTCAAGGCGAACATTTAATTAATTAATTTTTAAATTAACAAAAAAATTTTTAATTTATTTTAAATTTTGCAATGAGTCCGGCGTGAGGTTGCGCCTCAGATCTGATTACACCAATTTAAAACAAGTGGAGGTGTTGAAGTCGGGTGTCCCCACTTTGAAATACTCTGTACATATGTATGTATGTATGTGTAGAATAATTATGGCAATTAAAAAAATTAAGAACCTTTGGCAAAAACCTCCTTTGGTATTCGAACTCACGTAAAGGGTGTATAATTGCACATTTAAATAGGAATTGTGTCTATGTGAGTGTATGCATGTCTATGCATGTCTCTTCGTGCCTGTGTAAGCATGTATGCAGTACAAAGTTCAACCAAAGCACCGTCAACAACAACAGATGCGGGCAGCGCTTGAGCAGGGAGAAATAAATACGGACTCATAATCACTAACTGGAAGTATTTGTCAAATTTGAGTCAAAAATTAAAATTTATAAATCATGGTGGAAATGCATCCTTAAAAAGGGACATCTGTAAGTTCCTCGCTCTCCCAAAGTTACTATAAGTAAATGATTTTTTCGTTAAAAAAAATAAACATTATTTGCGGTCCCTGAGTCTATGTTTAGAACTCGCTCCGTAACAGTTATTCAACTAATATACTCGTATATGTATGTACATCCAACATTTCTTTGGTTGATGCATGATATAGTGCAGCGATTTTAAAGATATTTGAGAATGGAGGGAAACATTCATAAGGCCTCATTATTATAAAGTTCGTTTAAAATGTCGTATTAAACCAAAATCTGTTTACACCGATCGTTGATATGAACTGATACTATGCAGCGATGCTTTTTATTGAAACGAGCAGACCGATTATAATTAAATAATATCATAACGAAAAATATTGTTATATTATCATTTTGTATGGATGCAAAGGAGTGTGGAAGGTGGTGAAGATTTATTGTAACAGACATGTGGTATGATGAAAAAGTGGCGCAAACAAAAATTTGGTATAAAAACATTTTATGTACAGAGTATAAACACCGATGAATAATTCCTTAACGAAATAGAAATAGCCGAGCAGGCAACGAAATGTTATCCTAACTACAATACGTGTCCAATATGCGTTGAGTTCTTCAAAAATATAACCCTTCAATTGATTTCAGATTAGTATAAAATAGTATTGATTTGATTGGTCACATATAGGCATTACCACATCGTGCGGTAAAATAAAGTAAGATTGTACAAGTACCTACATATATGGTCGACGACGAAAAACTTTTCAACAATCAATCAATTCAAATGCAATTCGAATTTATTCAAATTCATTACAATTCATATGCTTCGATTTGTTCCTTGGGCAAAATTCGTTGGCAGCACAGCTTGTGAGATTAAGGGGGGTTGGGGGGAGTCCCCTAGAAACACCGACATCTGTCTCGCGGGCACTCCGACTGGTAATTAAGGCACTCATCCATGCAGTAAGTGTCGGCTCCTTCGCGTCCCTCCAACTCGCCAATGGCCACGCACTCTTGACTGAAGGTAAAGAATAATTGGAGAGATTGGTTTTGAGGGAGACTGGAATTTATGCTTACGGGCAATAACAGGCGGTCTCGGGACAGTTGGGTGGATATCGCAGGCAATTGATTTCGCACCAATGGTCGATGCCGGGCAGAGAACGAAACGGTGGCGCTCCAATGCACTTCTGATCGCTGAAAGAGGGAGGAGGGGGAGGAGTCGATGATTCTATCTGGTAGAAGTATGTCAGAATTGTATTTGTTTTGGTTATGTTTCTTGGAACTTCCAAAATTTTTTTTATTAGTAGCTCTGGGCTTTTCATGTACAGCACTGCAGAGCTTCAGCGGCGTCGCCGTTTGGCCGAATTCCGTATTAGCTACGGAAATGCTCTTTCCGAACATAACTTAAGGCGTCTGCGCACACCCGTGCCGAAGACCCCGACCCAGTCGACAGTCCCGATTTCTTCAGGCTATCAGCCGCGCACTCGGATGAGCAGCGCTTATAGCTGGCAATTGGGCAGCTTATCCACGCCGCGACTCCTCTTCGCTCCCATGCGGATGGAGGTATTTCCCCCCATGGCCCCATTGCCAAATCACAGGGCTATGAGGATACTGCAGAAACGGAAGCGTGAACAGGCCCGGCTGATGGCGATGACGATGATGTCTGATGGAAGAGCCGCTTCTCGTGTTCAATTTATGGAAAACTGAGAGGCACGGCAAGAATTAAAAAAAATTTAATTCAGCCAAGAGCATTGTGGACGTTTATTAAATTATAGAAAATTAATAAATGTGCGTGTTAAAATCATCTTAAGGATAATGGGAAATTTTAGTTGATGTCGCAGAACGAATATTCAACTCATCTTCGTCTTCGTCCCTATTCCATTTCCAAGACAAAATTCGGCCTTTTTTCGTTTCCTAATTCGATCACCTTATATGGAAACAAAAAACAAACGAAGAGCAAATCTTGTTTAAATGAAGGATGTGTCGGGAGTGGCCCTCAATAGGACTTTGTAAGTCTGAGGAGCACCCTAAACGCTACTCATATATATATTCTTTGCACGGTTTCCCTCGACATTAGAATACTTTCATCACTAAATGAGGGTTGTTCCCAATACAGAATTATGCGGAAAAAATCTCAAATACACACAATTTTTAATAATCATGTTACCAAAAGTGTTGCCTTGAAGTAATTTCTTTCCAATAGCAACTTCGTAAGTAATTTCGATTCCACGTATTTCGGTTGCAACCGGAGGTCTGAATATTCCACAGCAATTCTATAACTTCAACTTTGGTTTTACTGTCAAATTCAATTTATTTCGTCATGGACGTCATCCGAGTTTCGGATTGATATTTTTGCTTCTTCTAGCTACACTTTAGAGCCAAAATAGGCCACAAAATAGTTTTCGTTCACAGTTCGGGCAACCATTAAATACTTTACATTTCAATCAATTTACATCCAAAATTTGTGAATCGCATTGCAAACCAAAAAAAAAAAAAAGAAGAAACATTTCAACGCGCTCATTGAGAAGTCAATAATAAAATAGAAAAGAGAGAAAATAAAGAGACAGATCAAGGATAATAGAGGGAGAAAATAGAGAACGATGAATCGACAACGCATAAGGGAGAGGCCAACAGACAACCGGGACAATGAGCAAGATCCTTTGCCACAACCCCCACCCATATATCTTCAAGGTCAGCAGCAGCAGCAGCATCTCCAGCAACTCCTACCTCAACCCCAAGTCCAACAACAGCCCATTAGGCGAAAGACAGCTTACACCAGGACAACGCTGCCAACGCGCAACCTAGCGGGTGAGTAGCTCCTTCTGTGTCCGCTGATTACTCAGCTATCCAATGCTCGCTAGAGTTTCTCGCTAACCCTACATTATACGCTATCTTATAAATTACCGTTACCGATTGATCGATTATCGATTGATTCAACAATTGCCAACTTCCTAGCGATCGCGTACAATTCGACGATCTTTGTTGGGTGAGTGAGTGAGCCCGAACTTTTACAAATATTTGATATCACTTTCTAATTATATTATAATAAATATATTACTAATAATTGTTATTAGTTTTTTCTCGCCAGAACACCACTCTGATGTGGTTGCCTAATATTCAAACAAAAAAATCTTTTATTCCGATCTCCATGCTCACGAAGCGCTCACGCACGTTAAGCCACGCTCACGCACCGCTCTACTCTCGACCAAAATTATTATACAAGTACATATGTATGTATATAGCAACGACTAGAGTTTGCGAGTTTGCTTTGGCTCTGTCTTTCGCTTTGTTTTGAACTCCTGCTTTCCTGGCTTTCTTTGCCCAAAAATAATGGCGGCTTTTCTCATCTCTTCTTCTCTAGCCCCGCAAGGAACACGCAACAACGGCCGTTTAAAGCGCTTGCAGAGTCAGGATTGGGGCATGCCTATAACCGCCTGTGCCGCAGCCACACGATTGACTAGCGGCGCCTTGGGGCCGGTTAATGCTGGCAACAACAATAACAACAACATCCACAACCACAATAGCATCAGCAACAATAACAACAATAATAACAACAACAATAACAACAGACGTTGCGCACCTCGTCACTTTTTGCCACGCGTAGCCAGGCTGGGACCAAAGTCGCATCCCATGACAAAGGCAACAACGATGACGACGACGGCAGCGGCTGCGGCGGCCGTAGCCGCAGTTCCACCGGCTACAGAGCGACCCGGCACACCTTATGCGTCAAATGGTGGCAACAATATAAGTAACAACAACAACAACAACACCAACAACATTAATAACTGCGCCAACACTGAGACACCGGAGACGCCACCGCCTACAGCGCGCATGAATGCGGCTCAGCGACGAAAGATAAAGCTGGCAAAGGCTTTTCGGCTGCCCGATCAACAGAACAAGAGCTTCGTCTATCTGTGCAAGCCGGTGAAGCATGTCAAGGAGCTGCTGACGGCGCGTCAGTTGCGCAACTCCTCGGATGAGTTCGCTAAGCAGCTGGACATACAGTTGGAGCCAAAGCATTCTTTGTCCGCCCGTACACTCTGTCAGGATGAGGACGATGGGCTGGAGGGCAATGGTGAGAGGGAACGCTATTGTAAATCACCGGATGAGAACTCGGACAATGGGGAAGAGTATGCGCTGGCCCCACTTATGGAACTGAGTTCCAGCTCGGCCAGCAGCTTCAACACATCACCGCAACTGGAATTAAATCTGGGGGATCATCATTCGGCGACTAGCTTTCATGGATTGCTTCACAGTCAGCTGCTCGGCATACGTAAGCGTGAGAATATACTGAAGTCGGCGCTGTGTGCCTTCGAGACGGTGCCCGATGCCAATCCCCGGATAGAAGACGCACTAGATGGGGATGGTCCACATAGCCACACAGCCTTCTCCTCGGGCTCCCCGTCGGCGTCACCCTCCGGCTTGAGCGTAGATGGTGGCTCGAATTCACCATTGCAGTTGAGCCAACTAATGGATGCGGCGCAACGTAAGCTGGAAATTGATCTCGTATTCAAGAATATTCCGACGCTACAGCGTGAGATTCATTTGCTGCAGGAGATTGGCGAACGGCTGGAGGCGACCTTGCGCTCCAGTCCCCAGCTTAGCAGTGGCTGTTGCCTGCAGAACGACTCCTCCAGCATATACTATACGCCGCGCACTACGCTGGCCACCTACAGCTACGAGGCAGTGCCTATTACCAGATTTGGATGTCGGAGGGTTGAGCAGCTGCCGGTGGCTCGTCAATGCGGACGACTCTGTGCGCCGGTGCGCTTTTATGGGTTCATCAAGGAGTTCCGCATCGAAACCAAAACACTGACCGAGCTCAAGACAGGGGATGAGACGCAGTGCTTCTATTTGCCCGCTACCGGCGGCCAGGGAAGCGGAGAACTGCGTCGCACCTCGTTTCGCAAGCTCAAAGAGAATCCCAACGTGCTGCTACAGCAACTGCGTCCACTAACACCGACACGTCCCTTCAATTTGTTGGAACAGGATGCCATGTTCTTCAATAGTGTTGCTTTTGGCAGTGAACCTTTGGCGGGGGGTGGCGGCCTGGGCCTTGCTGGCCTTGGTGGCGTTGGTGGCGGTGGTAGCACCAGCAGCTCGGATCATGCCCTGGCCCGTGAGCTAAGTGGCCAGCCCTTTGCCCGACTGCTAAAGCCACCGAGCTGCGGAGCCAGCAGCAGCTATCAGAACATGTCGCTCTTCCTAAGCAATCCACCAACGCTGCCGCCCAGCTATAACGAACGCAGCTGCTCCGAAGGACGTCTTTTGGGGGCCGCATGCACCTCGTGTCAGTATCAACTTCTAGCAGCACGCCCAGCGTATACGGCAACGAGCAGTTGCCTGTTGCAGTTGCCGGACGCAAGTGCTGGCCTTTCTTCGGAGGGTTCCGTACACAGCTTGCGCCGCGTTAAGTGTCGCACCTCGTTGCGACCCCCGGCGCCGCCGGTGAAGCGAAGGCCAAAGCTGTCAGAGCGACGTTTGGCCGGCGGACGTTCCGCATCATCACCGCACTTGGGCATGGGCTGCGCTACCCGGCAGAAGGAGCTGGAGCAGAAACATCAGCTTGAACAGCTACAGGAACGTAAGCGCCAGAGCTCCTTGCCACGCACTTTGATGCGAGCTCAGGTGTCGCAAGCACAGCGTACTCGAAGGGTAGCACCGGTGCTACCCGAAAAGAATGTTAATCCCAAAATGCAACTGGTGAAGACCGTACTAGTGGGCCTGGTGCAAATAAGCCTCTTTCTTGTGCTGATCATGGCCTTTACATATCCGGATATACGCTGCTGAGCTTACACTAACCCGCATCTAGGATCTGCAACCAAACCAACTACGAAAAGCAATCATATCGATCGAATATTCGACTCCACATCCACATCGCATTTCATCAAAATTATTCAATTTGTGCTGAGAAAATTACAGAAGTTACAAATGCTGCCCAATTGTAGGGCCATTCTAGGTTCTGTAAATTTCTAACCGTTTCGAATCAACCGGTTTTAGTACTCGCGGCCCATCTACTCCTGGCATCATTAGTGGTGCCGCGCGTTTTAGCTTTCTACAAATTTCATGTGTCAATTCTTGAATTAAACACTTCAGTTACGTTTAACCGGTTATGGAACGGTTATACGCAACTGATACAAATCGAAAAATGTACCGTTTCCTTTGGAGATAACAAAATGCCGAATCATAGATTGGGTTAAATGTTTTGTGTTTATTTAAGCAAATATTTATACAGCTGTGATCAATAATATGTTGTAGTGTGGAACCATAACCGTTTACGATACTAAAATAGGCTAGCTTAAGTGTGGCTCTTAAGCCCTTTGAATATAAGAAGTCCAGAGATGAATGTGTATGCTTACAGTTATTTTAAAGCATTGTTTAAATACAGCGCTAAGAAGTGCAGTTGTGGCGACTTAGCGATTAAGCGGGTAAGCGGGTAATTTTTAAGCGGTAGGACGTTTGCGTTTCCGCGCATGTCTCGTGACATTGCTAGAAAGCAAAGCGAGATTTATAATTAATGCGGCTCAAAAGTAATTTCAAATCGAAGCGGTTAATGCTTATAAGTGAGGAAACGTAGTTTGCGAAGCTGAAGCGGTTAGTATAGCGGAAACGGTTAATTCTAGAGTTCGAAGTGGAGAGTAAATTAGGGTACGAGTATGTAAGAGGTGAGAATCACATATTGGAGAGAATTACATATTGAATCGGTTCTAAATCAACCGGTTAAGATATACTAATTATAAAAAATTGTATCGGTTACCAAACGATCAATAGTTCTTCTATCGAAATCGATATCGAAAACCTGTTACTCACCGCACAATCAATGGGAATATGTTGTTGTCTTCCGGGGCACGATAATCGCGATAGTACAGCAAATATGGAGATTTATTGTTGACGAAAATAGGTGGCACACCGCCTCCAGTGTTCGATATAATCGCAATATCGGCGCAGTTGCGGAAAGTTTCTGTTAAAACGAGAGAAAAACATTGAAAACCAACCACCAACCAGCCAACGACTTCTATGTGGAGATGGACTTACCCGCCTTGCCGCAGCCTACGGCTTCGGTACCATTGGAGCAGGTGCCCCACATATTGGCCGTATAGTAGGTCCACTGAAGGACGCACTGCGTGCAAGTCACATAAGGAGGCAATCGCACACGATACCGGAAGATGTCCTTTTTCTTGGCCTCACGCGGTATGAGAAAGCGGTGCTCGCGACTGCCCGAAATAAAGAGCGGATACCGATCGAAGCACTCCTGCGTCGCCTCTTGCCGTGGATTATTGTTGGGACAGAGGAACATCTCGAAGCGGCCGTAGTGGTTGGCAGTCAGCTCCACCTCCACGTCGATCTCCTGCCCTGCCGTGTAGTAGCGCGAAATGATGCCTTTCGCAAACTCACCGCCTGCCTCATGGGGTCGCGGTGACTTCACGTGATACGCATCGCCACAGACCCCACAGCGTCCGCTGTTCTGCTCCCACTGGACAGCATAGCCGCCGCAGAAGAGTTCGTTGTCATTGTAGTTAACCGGATTCGGGTAGCCGAATCGCCACATAGCATTGCGCGCTGGCGGATCCATTAAACGTCCATGTCCCAAAACTGTGGGCAGCAGGGCCAACTGTATTTCCCATATTGAAGAAATAAACAATATAAAATGTTAGAGTTGCGGAGGAAAGAGTCTGTACCGAATAAAAGTACAATAAAATTAATGTAGCTTTGGAATTGTGGAGTGTGCAGTTGAAATGCAGAACTTTGCACGGGAAGGGAACGAAAATCAAAAAATCTTATAAACTCGTAATGTTCCGAGACTAGGAGAGCCTATATAGCATGTCAATTGAGGTGAATGGATTTTAAACCGTTTCCGAAACTCAGGCGGCTCCCTCGATCGACTGGCTTGATACCTTTCGATTTTTTCCTACGACGTTCTTGAAGTAAAATATCTAGAACAAGAGAGAACGCTACAGTCGAGCAAGCCCGACAGTGTAATACCCTGTACCCAGGTAAACTTCCGTCACTGAGTTATATGCGCCCATAGCAGCAGCAAAAAGAGGAAGAAGAAGAGTGAGCTTGTTGCTGCAGTTTGGGGGGGTTGTACTGGCGAGAATTTGTTTTGCTAATAACTTTTCTTAGAATTGACCGAATTGAATAAAATTTTATACAACAGTAGACAATTTTATATTAATTATGTGTGCAAAGTTTGGTTTAGGTAGCATTTGAAATATGGACGCTATTGACGAACTTCTGTAGCGGGGGAAGGGGGGGAAAATTAAAAAAAAAACATAAACTCGTCCTTACTCGGACCTAGGAGAATCTGGATGCCAACTTTGGTTATTCTAGCTTTTATAGTTTCTGAGATCCTCGCGTTCATCCAGACGGACGGACAGACGGACGGACAGACGGACAGACGGACGGACATGTCTAGATCGATTTCTCTCGTCATGCTGATCAAGAATATATATACTTTATGGGGTCGTAGATGCTTCCTTCTGTATGTTACATACTTTGCACAAACCTAATATACCCTTTTTACCCTACGGGTACAGGGTATAAAAATCATAACATCGATTATAAAAAGTGCAATTTTGCAAAATTGCTCAAATGCGCTTAAAAGAGTTCGCTTTGGCGTTGCGACTAATAATCTTTATTTCTTTATTATTTATTTATTTAATAGATCTACAAATAGTGCTGTCGATACAGATTACTAATATTAAGTGCTCATTTAAACTTAAAAAAAAGAAAGACTCAAAAATAACTATACAATAATGTCTATTTAATTTATTTTATTTGCCATTTGGCCAGATATGCCCCGATTCACAGCCATATGTTGTCAGAGACATTATAGACCAAAAAAATTAAATAAGAGAGAGCGCTACAGTAAAAAATCCTGTACTCTTCACAAAAAAGCAAAATTAAAAAAAAAAATATTAAAAAAATTTAATTATTTGAATTAGGTAATTAAATTAAATATAAAATATTAAACACATACATACATAAGTGTCTATGTACAATTTCAATAGAATAAATTTACATCAGAATCGTGTCCCTGCGTATGCAGCACAAAGTTGAGCCAAAGCAGCAACAACAGCGGCGGGCAGAGCTGCGAGCACAGCTTCGGCAGAGACTATATTTAAGGCTATAACTTTCTTCATAATTCACTTATCATTATGAAACTTCGCATATAGACACATAATCACTAAGAATTACCAAATTTTAGTTTGAAATTTCAAAAATTACGGGAGTTATGGAAAAAAACAGGAATTGCGGGGGAGTCGGGGGGTATAAGCACAAACTTGTCCTTTCTCGGACTTAGGAGAATCTAGATACCAAATTTGGTTATTCTAGCTCTTACACTTTCTGAGATCCTTGCGTTCATACAGACGCACAGACCGACGGACGGACGGACGGACATGACTATATCGACTCGTCTTGTCATTCTGATCAAGAATATATGTATATACTTTGTGGGGTGTGCAGGGTACAGGGTATAAACATATATGTATAGTAGAGTAGAAACCTAAATTCTGCTTAAGAGCTATCTATATGAAGGAAGGCAGAAAGAGAAAAAGGAACAGAAGAGAGGTGGGGGAAAATTTTATTGCCAGTCCGGCCAGTTTAAAGCCCACGAAATCGATCAATAAATAAAACATAAAGCGTAATCTATGTCTGAATTAATACTGACTTGTATGGTTAAAGGAAAACTGAATTATGTATTTTTTAATGTCAAGGAAATACACATTTCTCTTAGATTCCCATTTTATGAAGTGGCTGTTTTCGATGCTCGCTTTGAATAGAATATTCTAATTGGCCATTCAATACTTTAAGTATCGTACCTTAAAGACGTTGAAAGACTCGCTTGATTGATACATACATATGCCCTAGTATATTATTAAATGAGAATGGTAGAAAACATTGATCTAAATCGTAAATCGCATTATGTATTTTATTGGAGGAAAATATAAATTCAAACTGATCTATACATATTTAGTGTTGTTGTAAGAGAACAATTGAATGTAAAATATATTTTGATATTTGTTATTTTCTGTGATTCTTATAATATTTTGATTTTGATACTCCCGGTGAATATTCTACATAACTATAGAGATTTTACAAATTCATCTTTAGAAATCCTTTATCGCAAAGCCTTATAAAAAAGTTAGGGGATGCTTGATATCAGAAACCACTTCTTAACAAAACATATTCCAGCAGCATATAGTATTACGGGCTTATTTATTGAGTTTCCAGGCACTTTGGTCTGTTTACTTACCAATGTGACCAGAGCCGTGTACAATGCATCCATAAGTGCTGCCAAATCTATAAAGGGAACAGAAAAGAGAGCAGAAAAATGCCATTATCAGATAATGCATATGAATTTGAAGAAAAGAAAAAGAACAAACAAACAAATAAAACGGGTTTGACAGCGCGCCTACATTACCAAAGCAGCCCCCGCGTTGAAAATACATTACTTTCGGCCCACTGTGCGATCGGCGACCCCATAACTATGTCTGCAAGGACGTCCACCTGATCGACTTTTAGTTTTCACAGCTTCTCTCATGTTCAACACGTTTAAAAGAATAAAAAATTATAAAAAGAATAAAAATGTCAATGGCTTGAGCCCTTTGGCTGTTGTTTTAAGCTTCGGTCTACATAGTTCAAACCTTCCATGGACTGCCTGAGCCTCTTCTTCGGTGGCCGGCCTAAACGAGTTTATTTTTTATTTACTTATTTGGCTTTTTTTTTCTTCTCTGTGCCAGCCTCGCACACACATGAGGCGTGCCCCTGCGCTAAAAATATGCCACAATCTCATTGTAGCCGAAGTCTTCGCTTTTAGTTGCTCGCATTTATGAGAATCTTTGGTTGATTGAATAGAGTTGGAATTACGTCTTAAAAATCGAATGCAGATCGCATGCCAATGAAATCAAAGGTTTGCTTTGATTATAAATACCAAAAACGAAATGTTTATATTTTGAATATTGGCCAATGACTTCTTTACTACCAACAACAACAACAACAACACTAATGAGAAATCAAATGTTTCTTTAATGAGCTCAAAACGCTTGCCGCTTACCTTTGTTTGAAGCCACAAGTTTGTTCTTTTCTTTTCAGCAGCAGCGGGTCTTTGCATAAATTCTAAACCACTAAAATGGAAATAGACTTTACTCATGCCTCATATTTTGAGCAAGCCAGCTCAGATTTTTAAAGAACTGTATGTTATTTAAAACGACTCTAAGTGCCTTTTTTTTATTGATGCAGTAATTTAAAAGCAAAATATGCTTCCAGCGGTTAATCCATTTTTGATAAACATATGACCTACGATAATTGGAAATTAATTGATAATTATCTTCGGGGAAATCTCTGACCACTTACTGCTGTGAGTTGGACTGGCATTTAAAATTTCCCCCACCGGATTGGAGATTTCCCTCTTTTTCTTTTCGTCTCTCTCTTTCCACCTTTCTCTTTTTCTGTTTCTCTATCTCTCTTTCCTTCTTTCTTTTTCTCTTTCTCGTTCTACTTCGTACTTTTTCTAATTAGTTGTTAAATAGAATTAATTTTTCACCTTTATCTACTATTTGTATAGTTTATTAGATCTTAAATGTCTCTGACCACATATGGCTGAGGATCGGGGCATAGCTGGCCAATTGACAAATAAAATTCCCCCAACGTGTCGGAGACATTAATAGACGTCATTGTAGAGCTTTGTGTTAGGCTTTTTTATCTTTTAAATGTAGTTTAATTAAATTAAATAATTAAATCGGTAGTATTATTGTTGATATTATGAATAAAACTAAAGAAAAACAAGAAAGGAATGCTAAAGTCGAGCAGGCTCAACTCTTAAATACCCTGTACCACCCCACAAAAAAGTAATTAAATTAATTAATTAATTAAATTAAATTAATTAACTAAATTAATTTAATTAATTAACTAAATATTAACTAATTAAATATAAAATATTCCATGCATGCATACATACATTTACATTTACATCAGAATCGTGCCTTATGCGTGTTTGTGTACTTGCACATATGTATGTATGTGTGCATTGGGCCTGGTTATATGGCTATAACTTTCTTTCCGATCATTTTATCATAATGAAACTTGGCATACGGATATATAATTACTAACCTAATGTGACTACCAAATTTTAGCTCAAAATTCCAAGAATTACGGGAGTTATAGAAAATCAGTAATAGGGGGGGAGTGGGGGGGCGGATCAGAAAAAATTAACAAACTCGTCCTTTCTCGGTCTCAGGAGAATCTGTATACCAAGTTTGGTTATTCTAGCTCTTATACTTTCGGAGATCCTTGCGTTCATACAGACAGACAGACGGACAGACAGACGGACAGACGGACAGACAGACGGACAGACGGACATGGCTATATCGACTCGGCTTGTCATGCTGATCAAGAATATATATACTTTGTGGGGTCTACCAAGCCTCCTTCTGTGTGTTCCATGTGCACTCGCACAAAACTAATATACCCTTGTACCCTTTGGGTACAGGGTATAAAAATAATGGAGTAATTCTGCATTAAAGCAAACATGACTTTTTTAAAATATTTCTTCCTGATGATGCATAATATTAATGCATTGTTTAGGTAAATCTTCTA